TGGAAGAAATCTGACTGCTTGAGCTCCAAAATTCTAAAAATTTTCGCCTGCGGCGCTGAAAAAGTGAATTTATTTGGCCTACTACCTTAGAAATTCTAAAAATTTTCGCCTGCGGCGCTAAAAAAGGAAGAAATCTGTGAATTGATCTTTCAAAATTCTAAAAATTTTCGCCTGCCGCGCTAAGAAAAGAAGAAATTTGTGAATTGGAAGAAGAAATCTGTGGAAAGAATCTGTGAACCTCTTATCCTCCATTTTATCCTTCAATCAACTTAAATCCTTTGATATCACTCAAAATCATCTTAAACACATATATCACCAAAAATTTCCCCAAATATCCTTTTAAATCCCTTAATCCCTTCAAATCCTCTGATCTCCCCGATATCTATTACGCAAAAATTTTTTATGTGAAAATCCCGAAATCCCACGGGATTTCGCTAAATTTTAGTACGGTATTATCGGGATTACGGGATTAATCACGCGAGATCCTGTCCCGTAAATAATTTTGAAAAAAATCCCGTTAAGGGATCTCTTGACTGCGATTTTGCCGCAACTATATGATTTTTTAAATTGTGCTTTTATTTATTAAAATTGGTAAATCTCTTCATATTTAAAAAATTTAAAAGTTTGGAAATAGAACTAGCTTGGAACTAGTTCCAGAACTGGAACTGGAACTAAGGAATTTAAAAAATGTAGTTCCGGAACTGGAACTGGAACTAAAGAAATTAAAAACCTGGTTCTGGAACTGTAACTGGAACTACTAAAATTAAAAACCTAGTTCTGGAACTGGAACTAGTTCCAGAGAAATTTTGGAACTTTCCCATTACTGCTTGGCACTGTAAAATATCCATTTTCCCATATATAATTTTCGAACTTCTATCCATCTGACCAGAATTAACTTTATTCTCTATTAATATTTTTATTAACTATTAGGAATATCCAACTAATTTTTGTGTTTGAATTTTTTCTACAAAAATTTCCGGTTCACTTTCCCCATATATTTTCGGAAAAAGTAACCCGTCGTAATTTTGATATTTACTGGGATTCTTGATAAATTCTCAACAATTTTTCAATTATTTACTAATATTTTTTTAACTATAAAGTAGGGTTTAACCCCGCCCCGTTCCCGAACGATTTTTTCACGATTCTCCCCGACCCGAACCCCGCCCCGAAAAAAGTGAAAACCCCGTTCCCCGACCCGAAAAGTTTCGGGGTTATCGGGGTTTTATATACCCAAAAAATGCCATTTTTTGGAGAATTTTAAGAGAAAAATTTTAAAAATTTCCTCCCAATTTACTTTGCTTTTATTATTTTTGAAAGAAAAATGAAAGAAATATCAAAATTCTTTTTCCTACTCTGTAAAGAGACTTGTAGTTGAGTGGCTTAGTTGTTGGTTTTAGCCTATTGGTCCGCTAATAGGTTTGGGTTCGGATCCAAATAGGCAGAAATTCATTAATTTCTCAATAAATTGACGAAATTAAATCGAAAATGTCGTATTTTTAGAGGATTTTTTCTTTAAAAATTTTTTCAGTAAACCCCCGTACCCCGACCAATTTTTCTCCCCCGACCCGAACCCCGCCCCGAAACATTTCGAAAACCCCGTACCCCTACATACCCGCCCCCGAACGTTCAGGGTCAAACCCTAGTTCTAAGAATCGAACGATTATTTTAATTTTTATAAAATTGGGGATTTTAATTGGGGATTTTAATTGGGGATTTTAATTAATCTAATATTTAATTTAATTAATCTAATTTTATAAAATTTTTCTTAACTTTTGATTTTTACTTATAATAAATTTAAAAAATTAAACAAATTCTAAAAACTTCAAAAGTCAAAATAGAAAAAAACAAAAAGTTCTTAAAAATTTTAAATAATTTCAAAAATCTTAAATATTTAATTATGTAACTCTATTAAAATATTTTAATATTAAATAAATTATATCAAATTTTATGAAAATTAATAAAGATTTAGTAATTGGGAATTAATTATATTTGAAATTAATTTTTATATCGAATATTAATGAATGGGAATTGAAGAAAATAAATAATTTATTAAAATGAAGGATAATTCGAAAGTTAATTTTTATTTTTATTTATTTTTTTATTCTTTATGTATTCCACCAAAATTTATTAACTTCAATTAATTTGGATTTTCCATCTTCATTCTTAAAATTCTTTTGAAGTTTATCTTCAATATAACGGAACCAAATTTGTTCATCTTTATTAAAAACATTCTTTTTACCCCCCAATTCTCTTTTAATTAAATAATCTTTCAAAATATTTTTTGAATTTTTTAACAACTATTCGACAATAAAAAGTCATTCAGATTTCCTTTTTTTGTCAAAATAAATTTCAAAACTTCCATCATCAAATAAAGGACCTAAACTTAAAATTTTAGTCCCATTGAAAAAAATTCGGTCAGAATCTGCTAATTCAACAAAATCCATTTGTTTGTCTTCAAAGTTTGTCTCATCAGTTCCGATAGCAAAAACATAAACAAATTTTTTTAATTCTTCAAAAAAATTCTTTAAATCTTCTGAAATTATTTTAAATTTCCCGAACAAACATCTTTCTTTTTCTCCTACAATTTTGACAAAAAATTTTACTTTCTTGGGAGAATAAAAATGATCAAGTATGACAAATATAAAATATCCTCTTTCATTTTTGGATTTAAAGCAAATATTTATATGACTGTCATAGCCTTCTTCAAAATTCAGATTCCATTCAAATTTAGTTAATCGGAACTCTTTGTTTCCTTCTTTAACCTCTTCAGGTTCGAAATTTTTATTTTTATGAAAGAGAGGCTCTATTTGCATAACATCCTAAAAAATGTTAATTTAAAAATTAGGGTTGCCAACTCGCTCGCTTTTCAGCTCAAAACCCAAACTCAAAAAAATGCACCGAACGTCGGCTCGAACCGAAAACGGCAACCCTATTAAAAATATTATTTTTACTTTGATAATATTTTATTTTATTCATTGCTTACCCTTCCTGTGCTTCGGAGCCCAATCGTAATTCCTTCGCGAAATTTATTAGATTCAGTTTTTAAATGAATCTTCGTTAACCCGTTGTTAAGATTTTCTGCAAAAGAATGGTCATTGGTTTCAACAAAACCAATTTGTCTTTTTAATTTTATATAAAGATCAGAACAATCTATTTCCGGCAAAGAACATTCCAATTCAACAGACAAATCAAAATTATTTATGTTTATTCTCTTTATTTTTAACTGATTGACATCGAAAGGATTAAAATAATAAAATCGGAACCGCTGGCTTTTTAGTTCGTTTGCCAAAGAATTTAAAAATATTGGAAAAATAAATTGAATAAAAAATAAAATTTTTGTTGACATTGACATTGAAAAGTAATCTAGAAATTATTTATTGTTTACTTTGAAATAATAGCCAAAAAAGATAGTTATTCGGTTATCTCCCACCATGTATTCGTCTCCTTTTTCCGAATTTAATAGGTAAATATAACCTTTTTACACTCAATCCAATTCACGAATCTTAGATAATTTGCAATCCCTCGATGAGCGCTATCTTTATTCCAACAAAATAGAGTAAGTCTGATCGTCCATTAAAACATTAGAAGTCGATAAGTCAAAGAAATCGTTTTTTTCACAGTTATCACTTCTTAATGGGCGATCAGACATGATCCATCAAGAGCGCTTCATTCGGATTGGATCAAGCATATGAAAGTTAATTCGGGAAATCGAGAAGAAAAATAAAATGGTGGGAGATAATCGAATAGCGCCGTTTTAACTTTAAATTTACTGTTAAATTGTTTAAAAATTTAATTTAAATTACGTCAAATTAAAATTTTTTCCTCATATTTATTCTAATTTATTTGCACTTTTGTTTATTTATGTATAGACATAAATTTTAAAATATTTCGGCAATATTAAAGAAAATCAAAGAAAAATATATAGTTGTTAAACACAAAAAAGAAATATATATCATTCATTAATAGCTTGGAGTTCTTATTAGATTTATTCTTTAGGTAAAAATGAAATAACAAAAGAACTTGGACTCCAACTCGATTAATCGGCATCCATATTTTTCTATATTTTTAGGAAATTGTTTAGATAACTTTTATGTATCTTTTGATATAATTTATTTAAAAAAATTAAAATTATTTAATAATTTTTGTATTTTATTTCTTTAAAAATATTTCTTTAATAAATAATTTTAATAATTCTCTAAATTGATTTTTGATTTTGAATTTTATTTTCCAAATTTAGTAATTTTTTTTATTAACTCCCAATAAAGCTTTTGCTGAACAAATAAATTAAAAAAAGAGAGAATTTCTCTTTTAAATAATAAAAGAAAAACCTTTTTTGAATGTTTGTTTTTGATTTGGCCAAAAAAATTTTTTTGCCATTTAATAATAAATTTCACAAAACGTATCAAACTATACTCTATTCAAATGTATTTGAAAAAATAATATCTTTATAAACTTCAATATTTTACTTTAAAATTTATTCAAATTATTTCTTAAAAACAAAAATCCTTAAAATAATTAAAAAAATTATTTCAAAATTTAAATTTTAATAAATATATTAAAGGTCGGGCATAATTTTTTCTCAGTTTTATTAATTAAAAATTAATTAAACCTTATTTATTTAAAAAAATTAAAGTTATTTAATAATTTTGTATTTTTAATGTCTTAAAAAATAATCACTTCATTTATAGAATTTTTAATACTCTCTAAAATAAAAAAAAATTATTCTGGATTAAAAATTAATAACTAAATTATCTCACAGATTAATTTTTTAGAAAGCTTTATTTTTAATTTAAAATCCTTCCTCTATATATTTTTCCAAAAAATAGATGGAATGTTAATCCACTCAACAATCCCATAAAACTGACGGTTGACGGTTTATCACTTTTATGAAATAAGAAAAATTTGCCGGCCTAAAATAATTAATATAATATATTTTTTCTCATTAGTTTTAAATTTTTAATTAAATTTAAATAACTTAAATAAAATTATTTAAAAGAATATTTAAAAAAATAAAAAAATATTTAAATACTAAAATGCATTCTATTGTGATATTTTCAATGACTGTGATTACTTTTTTGATGATTAATGGTATAAATTATTAAATTAAATAAAAATAATTTTTAAAAACTTTTTCAATCAAAATAATTAAAAAAGTTTGGTCAGAATAAATTAAGTAAGTACATTAACTTTAGTTTATCATGAAAATTCTTTACACCGGGATTTTTGAATAACACAAATAAATAATTTTTAAAAAATATTTATTTTATTAATTTTATCAAAAATATTTAAATTAAATATGCCGTGAATCCTCTAATAGAAGCACATTCGCTTCTATTTTTCAACCCTCTCGAAGAGTTGAATTAATGAATGTGTTTTATTAGAGGATTTACGTTTTATATAATTAAGTTAATGGTGAAAATTGCAATGGTAAAAAATGTAATAACAATCAAGTATGTGCAAAATTTTGTGTTAAAGGTTAATTTTTGTTTTAAAAATTAATTGTTCATTAATTAATTGTGGCAGATTTTTTTAGCTGATGAATTTTAGATTTCTTTTGATTTTCCGAATTACCATAAATGTCTTAATTAAAATATTAAATTCCCTTTAATTTTTGTAGAATATTTTCGAGAAGATTTATTAAATTTAAATAAATAAAATTATTTCAATGCAAAAAATTATTTTAATTAAAATCAGAAACTTAAATTTAATAATTTTAATTAAAAATTCTATTCAATTAAGGTAAAGAAAATAATTTAGTCTGTGGCTTCAATGATCATAAATGTCCAGTGGGATATACATGCCATAATGAATGTAAAGGTCAGTTATGTTATATTTATAACTACTATTTGGTTAAGAAATAAAAAGTTTCGTTATTTATGAGATGGCGAGGGCTTAATATTTCGATTGTCCTTTCTCACATTTATCGGGTAACTTTTTAACGAGTGATCAGACCTGATCCATCAAGTTAGAAAAAGATACAGTTCATTAAGGGCTTTAGAATGATATAAAATTTATTTTTATTGGTCCTGGCAACAAAAAGTTATGGCCGATAAAGAGCTGCTAGCAGTAAGTTTGTGTGACCCAATTTTTATTAAAATACCAATTTACATATACATAATTCCATATTTATTGTGCAATAATATTTTTACTTATTTTAGGATTTCGAAATTTTAAAACTTAATATAATTTAAGATAAATCTGATATGCAACCTTGCAATCCTCAGCAATATTATTGTCCTAAAAATTACAAGTGTAATGGTGGCGGCATTTGCATGCCAAAATAGGTCAGAAAATAATTTTTATTTTGAAATAAAAGGAGAATCTGTGTAAAACAAAATATCTCGAAGTTTTGATTTAGTGGAAAATAGGTTTTAGGACAAAATTTTGACCTGCGTTTATAGTTTTCTGACAGAGTGTACGTACAAAAAGTACATTTTCAATTTTGTAAGTAATTCTAATTAAGTACGAATTGGAGCTCTAAATAAAGCAATAATTACAAGCTTTAAAATAATTTTAATTATTTTTAAGAGCAATAAAAAGAAGTTTCAAGTTTGATGGGATGATTAAATTTAAAAAGAAACCAGTGATGTCCCGATTCTAAGAATCGAACGATTATTTTAATTTTTATAAAATTGGGGATTTTAATTGGGGATTTTAATTAATTTATTATTTAATTTAATTAATCTAATTGCATAAAATTTTTCTTAACTTTTGATTTTTAATTATAATAAATTTAAAAAATTAAACAAATTCTAAAATATTGAAAAGTCAAAAGAGAAGAAAACGAAAATTCTTAAAAATAAAAATTCGCTAAATTTATGATATTTTATTAAATTGTCTTTGGCCAATTGGTTTGTGAGTAAGTTTAGTCTAATAATTGTTTAGAAAAACGATTATAACCAGGTTGGTCAAAATAGTTGTACTTAAAATCGCAAAATACGCTTGAAAGAGACATTGATCCTTGATCCTTAAGAGTCCAATTCGCTGTTAGTTTTCTTTAGTAAAATATATTTATTTTCCCATTATACATTCAAAATTTTTTTGCTTAGTCATGTTATTAGTAATTTATTGCAATTAATTAAAAAAAGATTATAATATTTCTATACAGACATATGACCATTTAAGATAACATTTTCTTATCTAAAAACTAAAAATATTCACTCAATTTAAAATGACAATTTTGGGTGTCTTATATTTTTATTTTATTACTTTTATTAAGGAATGATAAATATAAAATTTTGATTATCAATTTTATAAATTCTGACCCTTGTTAATATTACTTCACAAATACATATTTAAAAACTAATAAATTAAATTTAGAATTAAAAAAGTTGTTTTTACTAACAACTTTAAGGTTTGCTTAACGATTTGTTATCTGATTTTCTTTGTAAGGATGATTCACCTAGCAGCATTTATAACACTTATTTGTTAGGCGGGGGTTAAATTATCTAAAGGGATAAAAGAGAAAGCATTAGTCATCGCCCGGTAGGTACTGATAGAGCTCATGTAGTGGTGATCAAAAGCGCCTAGCAATCGCAGGTTCGTCCTGCCCGGTGGCTAAACTTTAGCTAAAATCTTTCACCTAATTTGGTAATAATTATTGACAATTCTGCAATTTTAGTTTAAGTTTAATTATCTAGATCTTATCTATTTTGATTGCTATAAAATTCCGCTATCACTATTTCAGTCAGCCCTGATCGAAATGTTTGGGGCATTTCTCAGTGACCTAATGCAATTACGGGGTTCTTAGCTTCATTGTAAATCATTGTATTTTAAAGTTTATCTGATGATATTTAATAAAAGAAATTACGTACAACATTTATTTTCTCTTGAATTTTTCCTTTAGATTCTTAACGATGATAAAATTATTTATTATATTATTTTTGTGTACACTTTACGTGTCGAGTTATGGAATGAAGTAAATTTAATTTCTAATTTACCGAATTTCTTTAAAAATTTATTATAGTGTTTAATCGGGAACCAATGTTTAAAATTATAATTAAATTGAATTCATTAATCTTTATTGAAAGTCTAGGGACTAAAATGTTTAGTGAGAGCGAAGAACGCAGTTTCCAATTAAAATATATTGAAGAATATTGTTAAACGAGTCAGAAATTTTTTGATGAAATTTTGTGGCAACCGAAAAATAAAAATTTATTGGGCTAGTTTTAGTTAAACTGAAGCTCTAGAGGTAGACGACCTCAACAAATTTATTAATAAAAGAAGTAAAGGTAGTATGAGATCAAGCACCAACTAACCTCCGATTGGCTCTAACCTTTGGAATACACAGGCTATTAACAAAATTTCTTATAAATTTTAGATGGAGATCAATCCGCTCTCTTCACAGCTCGTTCTCTTCATCATCCGAATCCAATGATCTCGAAGGAATTCGAAATGAGCAAATAAGAGAAAGTGAAAATGAGTATGAGCTTAGACAATTAATTGAACGAGGATTTGCTGATTGGCAGGCATACAAGGAAAAGCATGGTTAATAGCTTTGATTTTTAAATAAAATTATTAAAATATTTTGTAATTTTTATTGAATTCATAAGCAAATTTTGTCTTAAAATAAATTAATTAAGGAAAATCATATCCAAACCAGGATGAGGATAATGAACGTATGCTTGCATATTTAAGGTTAAAGAACAAATTTTTTTTTGAAATATTTTTTAAAAATTTAGTGCAAAACAATTTATTGAAAAGCATCAACGAGACTATACTGAAGGAAGAGTTAGTTTTCAGGTTGGAGAGAATCACATGGCTGATTTGGTAAAATATTTTTATTTATTTTTTAGAAATTTAATAACTACCCAATTTAAACTAACCACTCTAATAAACATTTGAAGTCTGTAATAGAGACCAGAAATGAAGTGTCTCGTATGAGAACGATATCTCGAAAAATTATTTGACTTACTTTAAATTCTTTAATAATCCCAGTGCTTCTATTCTTCAATGAGTTTGAGTTGGTTACTGTCAATGCTTCAACGCTCGTAACAAGATTCGTATTAGTAATTGGTACGAGGTATCAAGTGCGAGCAAATCTGAGATTTCGAATTGCCTGTTACAATTAGAGAATGTGATCTCAGTAGACTCCCCCCTTAAGATACGGGCTTCCATTATATTGAATAGAACACCATTCTCATCGCTTTCCATCTAAAACTTTGCTTTCAAAACCTCACAATTGAAATTCTACACTCACTTTGAATTAACTTAACTTTCATCCTCTCTAATGGAGTCAATGCTGCACATTTTGAAAAAATGCATAATTACCTAACTATAATTCATTTAATTAAAAGCCTTTCAACCAATACCGCAAGCTTAATGGATTCAAACGCCCTCTTGGTGATGCTGTTACACGAAAGAATGCTTCTTCAACATTTTTGCCCCCACTAAATATGTATGCAGTACCAGAATCTGTAGATTGGCGTAACAAGGGATTGGTGACTAGTGTTAAAAATCAGGTGAATTAGTTAATTCAGTAAGTGCTCTAATTAAAGCCACTGACTTCTATTTTTAAATTTAATTAAAAGTACCTAAAATTATTTGCTTAAAAAAGAAACTAACATTGAAAATAAGGATTTTCAATAATCCAATATTTAGGGAATGTGCGGTTCATGTTGGGCTTTTAGCGCAACCGGCGCTTTGGAAGGACAACATTCTCGTAAATTAGGAACACTTGTGTATGTTTTCATTAAAAATTCTAAAATATTTTTATTATTATAATTAAGTTCTCTTTCTGAACAAAATTTAATTGACTGCACCAAAGGAGAGCCTTATGGAAATATGGGGTGTAATGGAGGATTAATGGATAATGCTTTCCAGTAAATTAATTAATTTTTAAAATTTTTGAATAAAAATCTATTTTAATTAAAAATTTAACAATTTAAAGATACATTGAAGACAACAAAGGCGTTGATACCGAGACAAGCTATCCATATAAAGCTAAGGTATGGATATCCTTTTTCACATACTTATTACTAGGGTTTGACCCCGTACCCCGAACCCCGACCCCGTTCCCGAACGATTTTTTCACGATTCTCCCCGACCCGAACCCCGCCCCGAAAAAATGAAAACCCCGTTCCCCGACCCGAAAAGTTTCGGGGTTATCGGGGGTTTTATATACCAAAAAATGCAATTTTTCGGAGAATTTTAAGAGAAAAATTTTAAAAATTTACTCCCAATTTACTTTGCCTTTATTATTTTTGAAAGAAAAGTAAAAGAAATATCAAAATTCTTTTTCGTGCTACGTTAAGAGACTTGTGATTGAGTGGCTTGGTTATTGGTTTCAGCCTATATTTACATTACTATAGGATTGGGTTCGGATCCAAATAAGCTGGGCTCGTTTGTTTTGGGATTTTTCTTTACAAAAACAAGAGTTTTTTTTAATTTAAAAATGTCAATCTTATTTTTAAATATTGTCAAACATAAAAAACAATGTAAAGATTTTTTGTTTAGCTAAAATTTCAAAAATTTTCTTGGTCAGCGCTAAAATAAGCGAAGACATCCGGCTTTTTGACCTAAAAAATTTTAAAAATTTTCGCCTGCGGCGCAAAAAAAACGAAAAAATCTGGCTTCTTGGCCTTATGAAATTCTCAAAATTTTGCCTGCGGCGCAGAAAAGAAAGAGCTACCCTGATATCCTACAAATCCCTAATCACTCGATAACCCTTAAATCTGATATCCCTTGAAACGGCGTAGTGACAGAAGACCCACAGACAGAAGACCCAAGGACAGAAGAACCACAGACAGAAGAGAGAGAGAACCCGCCTTAAAACTAACCTTAGTCCCTATAAATCCTCTTATATCCCCAGATATCCGCTTTAATCCCTCCAAATCCTCCTTAATCACCTCCAGATCCAATTAATCACTCAAATTTCTCTTATTTCCATTTAATAACACCTTATTCTCATTAATTTGTGAATATATTAACGAAAATAGCATTTTTTCTTTAAAAAATTTTTTCCTAAAACCCCGTACCCCGACCCGAACCCCGACCATATTTTGCTCCCCCGACCCGAAACAATTCGAAAACCCCGTACCCCGACATACCCGCCCCCGAGCGTTCGGGGTCAAACCCTACTTATTACTTAAAGTATTACAAATAAAGTATTTCATAAAATTCCAAAACTTATCTTTTGGTATTCCGTACGATTGTATGGTACGATCACTAAAATCAACCAAGATAGAAATTAGATTACATTACTATTTTGTTTATTTTAAATTAATAAATTAAAATAAATAAAATAATAATTGCAGAACGGCAAAAAGTGTCTTTTTAAACGGAGCAATGTTGGTGCTACAGACACTGGATATGTTGATCTACCTTCTGGCGATGAAGATAAATTAAAGGTTTATTGAGATAATTATTTAAAAAATTTAAAATTAATATCATTTGACTTAATGTACTTATAAATACTCTAAAAAAGCTTCAATAGGGTTCAATTGGTCAATATTAGAGAAACACTTACATTAGAAATATGCATAGTAATAAATATGGGCTTCTATTAGACACTAATAATAATACTTGATCAGCTATAAATATTAGAGTTATTAAGAGTCACTATAAAACCAAAATCCAATTTATTAAACATTTTATTACGTCAATTTTACAGATTGCTGTTGCCACACAAGGCCCAATTTCTGTAGCAATTGGTAGACAATATTTAAATATAAATTAAAAAAATATAATTTATAATAAAACTAATATCAGATGCCGGCCATCGCAGTTTTCAACTTTATACTCACGGAGTTTATGATGAGGAGGCATGCAGTCCCGATAATCTCGATCATGGTTAAATTTATTAATTAAAATAAAGTTAATATTTTTTATAAAAAATTTCCAGGTGTCTTAGTTGTTGGATATGGCACAGATGACATCCACGGAGATTATTGGCTTGTTAAAAATAGTTGGGGGGAACATTGGGGAGAAAATGGTGAATTAATTTAAAATAAACAAATTTTAATTTAATTTAATTAAGGGTATATTCGAATGTCTCGAAACAAAGACAATCAATGCGGGATTGCTTCTAAAGCTTCATATCCGCTTGTTTAAAAAATGAATGAAGAATAAAATTAAAATTAAGTATAAAAATTTAAATCTAAAAATATCAATTACTTAAATATAAAAAAATGATTTTATTTTATTAACAGTATTGAATTAATTTAAAATTTGAATTAATTTTTTTATTTTTATATTATTATTATTTTCAAGTTAAAAAATATTAGTAAATAATTGAATATAATTGTTGAGAATTTATCTGGAATTTCAGTTAATTTTTACTTTTTCAGTTAATTTTTATTGTAGAACGGCAAAAGTCAGAAAAAAATCGACATTCGAATATACCCTTAATAAAATTAAATTTAAATCCTCTCTCCTTTCATCGAAAAAGTCTTTAGGCATTCCCCTCAATCCTTCAAAAGCTTCTCATAAATTTCACTGAAATCTTCCTAAAAAGTAAAAATTAATTCATTGAAAATGTCAAAAAGCATCCGTTTTCTTTGTATATTTAGCTTCATTATCTTCATTATTTTTGCCTTGCAAGAATTAATTGGTGGAGTTATTACTACTCCGAATAATGCACCGCTTAATATGGAACTGAAACCCAACTTTTTCCGACAAATAAATGGCCTAAAGTGAACTGGAAAATTTTTGTAGCAAAAAATTCAAACACAAAAATTAACTAATTAGATAATCAGAAAACGAGCAGACACCTATTCCTTATAGTTAATAAAATATTAATAGAGGATAAAGTTAATTTTGTGCAGACGGATAAATTAGTCAGAAAAAATTCGAAAATTGGATATAGGATTTTACAGTGTCAAGACAATAAACAAAAATTTATAGAAAAATTAAATTTATTAATAATAATAAATTTAAAATTTTTATTTTCATTATATGATGAAAGTTTAATTATTTTTATCTTTTAAAATAAATATTTCCTGTTTGCCCTTTTCAAAATTAAAATCCTTTGCGCAATTAATTCTTTTAAATGTAATAATGCCCTTTTAGGGGCATCCCTAAAAATTTCATTATTTCCATTAATAATTCACATGAAAAGGGCAAAGAAATGAAAATTTATAAGAAGGAAAAATTCATTTTGAAATAAAAACACCGGCATTTAACATGCTTTTCACTCTCTAAAGTCCATCCAGTGTGGCAAATTTAACAAATAAATAGCCCCTAAATTTCGATGAAATAACATTAAAGTAAAATCCTCTCTCCTTTCATCGAAAAAGTCTTTAGGCATTCCCCTCAATCCTTCAAAAGCTTCTCATAAATTTCACTGAAATCTTCCTAAAAAGTAAAAATTAATTCATTGAAAATGTCAAAAAGCATCCGTTTTCTTTGTATATTTAGCTTCATTATCTTCATTATTTTTGCCTTGCAAGAATTAATTGGTGGAGTTATTACTACTCCGAATAATGCACCGCTACAAGGTTTGTTTGCCAACAATTAAAAAAAATTAGTGTAATTACTAAACATCATCAAATGATTTACCGAAATTATCCCTATCTCCATAGAATTTAAGATTATTATTGACGGGGACGATAGGAAACGTCTTTCTAAACTGGTGATAAGATGAAGAGAATAATTCAAAAACCCCGTACTCCGACACAACCGCTCCCGAGCGTTCGGGCCAAACCCTAATGATAAGAAATAGTTCCTATTATTGTATAATTAAAAAATAACAAAGGAGAGTTCATTATAATTAAATGACCGCAAATTTTAAACTTGATTCTTAATTTAGCTCGTTTACCCAATCATCCTCTCGACACTAAAATTGCTCCAAACAAAATTGCAATGCAACAGAATTGCAATCCACCAAAACACTCAAAGACTGGGGGGCCACTCCATTGTTCCACTCAGCACCACAGTACTTCTGCATTAATTGCTTCAAAAAATGATAATTCAATTGTGATTGAAAAACAAGTTAAAGGGCAATCTAAAAGTGAAGATAAAAAGATTTTTCCCTCGGAGGAAGAAGAAGTAGGGAAAGAATTAGTAACCATTCAAGAAATTAAAAATTCATTGTTCGAAGCAATAATTAACAAAACCCCAAAAATGGGGAAATATTCGACATTTATTAATCAAATTTCTAAAATGATTTCGAATGATTTAACAACTTCATCAAATTTAGAAAAATTTCCAACTTTTGCTGAGGAGCTACTTGAGAATGGGAGTAAAACAGTCATTAAATTGGCTGAACTTGAAAATATTGTTAAAAACCATTCAGAATTTTTTGAAAAGGCAATGGCTTTAAATAAAGAGGAGGAAAGATTAATTAAATTCCAAATGGCCGGGAATAAATTAACAAAAGAGGAAATTAAAGAAAAATTAAATAAAATAATTTTTGAAGGAACAAATGAAGAAAAATTGATGAAAGAAATTTTGGAAATTTTAAAAATTAAAGAAACGGAACAAAGTTTAATTGGAACAATTTACAAAGAGAAAGTTGAATTAAATGATTGTTATAATAATTTTCTTGTGAAGCTTTTCCCTAATGATTATGATGTTTTTGGAGATGAGGAAACTAAGGAAGGAAGGAAAATTAAATGGGAGATTATTGAGAAGCTTGAAATTTTGGAGAAATGTTTGTTTGGTTTTTTTATTATTAAAACAACTACCGTATTTTCTCGAATAATCCCCACTCTCGAATAATTCCCACTCTCGATTAATTCCCCATGCTAGAGTTGGGTTGAAACAATAATTTCCCACCCCCAAATACCCTACTGCACGTTCAAATGCTAAAACTCAAATAATTCACCTCCCTGATTAATTCCCCATGCCAAGGAAGGGTTGAAAAAATAATTACCCAGGAAAATTAATCGAGAAAATACGGTAAAGGAGTAATATGTACTTTGAGATTGAATTAAAATGTATAATAGGAGGATCTTCTGGTTAATTCTTTATTCTCTAATTTAGTCTAGGTACAAGTATGAGAGATTATATGTAGTCTAGCTTGATATAATTTAAGAGTTTCACGGATTGATAAGGGTACTGACCTACCAACCTCAGTCTCTATGTAGAGGCGGCGGATTCTACTGTTTTTTGTTACTTTTGATTTTTAAGGGCATCTTTCGGGCCTTTAATATCGACAATAATATATGTTTTTTCGAAAAAATTTTTATCTTTCAAATAAAATTCGCTCGTCAATTAAATTCTAATGAAACTAAGTATAAAATATATTTTAACTTCAGTCATGGACAGTACTGAGAAAATTCTTCGTGAACTGAAGCATTGAAGCAATGAAAAATGCGAAATGATGATGGAGAAAAAACATAATAAATATATTTAATAAATATGAAATTTTTAAATTAAAAGTTTTTATTGTAAAAATTGTAGATATGTATTATAAAATGATTTCCTAATAAAAATTTAGATTACTAATTAATTAATTATGCAATAATATTTAAGTGACCACACGTTTTAGATGGATTTATCTAATTTATTTTTAAGCTTATTATAATAGAGAGCTATTCTTTCGAGAAAATGTATTAATTAAATTTAATAAATTGATTAAAGCATTTGAGCAAATAAAAAAGCTTTAAATAAAAAATCATAAAAAACTAAAACTAAAATCCAAAAAAAACTTTTGTATATTTACGTATTACCGCAATTACTAGATGGTAATTTTAATTAAATTGTTTTGTAATATATGGATTCTGAATTATTTATTGAAAATCGCTGCCGTTTATGCTCGAATAATTACCCTCTTTATTACCCTCTCGATTAATTACACCCTCAACGAAAATAATTAATAAGGCAATAATTACCCTTCTTAAACAATTTTTTCGTTACAAAGGTTGTATAAATAAGACAAAATTGTCAAACACAAATTATAAGGATGGCAACTTTATGTGAAAGTATTAAAGTTGAATTTACTTTGTACATATTAATCTCTTTTTTTTGTTTTAGCTTTTACTTATCAATTTTTATTTTTTTAATACACCTTTTCGAAATGCTTGTTCTCTATTAAAGACACAAAATAGTTAAAATTATTTTACCTATCAAAAATTAGATAGAAAATGAACTTTACATTTATTTTCAATGTTCTATCAATTTTATTATTTCTTTGAGTATTTGAACTTAAATGTTTTTTAATTTTTGTTTACCATAAATAAATTCGCGATTTTTTATTAGGGAAAGAGTAATCTTTTTTTATTGTTTTTATTCAGATAGCTAAAAATTTAAAAAAGAAATCCTAAAAAAACTAAAAATTAAAAACGATTAGAAATTAGTACATAATTAAGTTTGAAATGATTTTTCTGATATTTTTCTTATTTCTTTAGAAGTACATTGACCTTTTATATTTTGATCTTATTAATTGTCTTTATAAAATATTTTCCATATATAAAATGAAAAACAATTAAGTTTAGATGACATAAAATTATTTGAATATACCTAATTATGTTTATTTTATTTATTTTTTTAATATTATATTTTATTAATAATATATTTATTTATTATTATTTATTATAGTACTTAACATAACTAAAAACAAACATAATTATTCTAAAAATATATATGTCCAAAATTTAGAAGAACTTGAAAATAGTCATTATCCAATGATCTCGCTATTTAAAACTAAAAATGTTTAGTTTATAGTTGAAAAGGTTTTTAATTTTTAGTTTTTTTAGAATTTTTTTTTTAATTTTTAGCTATGTATCTGAATAAAAACAATAAAAAAAGATTACTCTTTCACTAATAAAAAATCGCGAATTTATTTATGGTAAACAAAAATTAAAAAACATTTAAGTTCAATTACTCAAAGAAATAATAAAATTGATAGAACATTGAAAATAAATGTAAAGTTCATTTTCTATCTAATTTTTGATAGGTAAAATAATTCGAAAAAGTGTATTAATTAATACACATTTCGAAAAAGTGTATTAATAAATTAAAAAATTAATTAAAGCTAAAACAAAAAAAGAAGAAAATACAAACTAAATTCTAATTGGGTGTTTTGATGTTTTCGCGCAGGAGTGAAAGTGTAATAATTTATTTTTCACAATTTTGTGATGTTTAAAATAATTTTTTATCAGCGGAATTGTTTAAGATGGTAATTATATGCTTAAATAATTACCCTGGGTAATTATGTTCTAAACCTCTTGCTGGTGGGTGGAGGGGGGGGGGGTAATTATTTGAAAGAGCGTAATTATTCGAGCATATACGGCAGAAAATTTCAATAAAAAATTCGGAGTTCCTTATTTTATAAAAACTTGAAGTAAGGTAATTTAATTAAAATTACCACCATCTGGTATTTACGAAATTCAATATACAAAAATATACAAACTCCTTTTTTGGCTTTTAGTTTTAGTTTTTTATTATTCTATTTAATATTTCTCTCCAAAACGTAACATTTATTTAAAGCTTTTTTATTTACTCAAATGCTTAAATCAATTTTTTAAAATTTAATTAATATATTTCTTCGAAAGCCTGGCTCTCTATTATAATTAAATTAAACATAAAATAGATAAAAATTAATTTTACCAGTCACGAATCTGATAGAAAAAGACCCTTACATTTATATCAATATTCTTTCAATTTTATATTTTCTTTGACTATTTGAACTTAAATGTTTTTAAATTTTTGTAAATAAATACTCAAATTTATTTATCAATTTATTCATTATATATTTCATTTTTATAAAATATTTAGAAAATTTTAATTTAGTCTACAAGGGGTCTAAAATATTTTTTAAAGACGTTTACCTCCAGTTTTTTGTTGATTTTTGGGTTTTCAGATACCGATGAAGGAGATATATTAGAACTTAGTTTCTTCAGTATTTCATATTGATATAATAGATAATCTCACTAGATTTTTTGTAGATTTTCTTCCTAATGTCGAAAATAGAAGTTTTTTTACATTATCTATTATGTCCACCACATTTCGAATTAATTATGTAGATAATCTAACTACTGAACCATTCTATTTGCATTCCCAATCAACCTACTTAACCTTTCACCTTTCTATTTCGTTCCCATTTTCTGTTTTAAAGACCCTCATTATTTGTCGCCAAATTGGCGACTTTTTTTAGTTTAATATCCCTTTTTTTATCAATTTGTTATTTTTATCCCTATTTTTTGCCAATTTTGGCGACTTTTCATTAAATTGTCTCTTTTTTAAATTGTCCCCCGTTCACTCCTCGTTAATTTTTTAGCCGTTCACCCTTTATTTTTTCACTGTCCACTCAATCTTTTTAAACCTTTTCCCGCCAAAATTTTTTCTCTCTATTTTTTTGTGACAGCTTGCGCCTGTCACAACTTAAATTTTTCCTATTGTTTTTTCCGATTTTTTCTTTGCCCCGTTCTCTCTCCACATTTTGGTTTCTATAACTCTGTTCCAATTATTTTCAAATTTCGCATTTTTTGAGTTTTTATTGCTAAGACCCGCCCTCTTTTAATCTTTATTTAAGCCGAGGATCAGCCCCCAAAATTATTCCAGATTTCCTTTCAACCTTCCATTTTTTCAACTTTCACCGATCCAATCTACAACTTCTGAAATTTTTGCTGATCCTCGGCTCTCTACTCAACTTTCGCTCTGGTTTTAAAATTAGTGTTTTGTTGGCCTTACTGTTATTTTGTGGAAATTTATTTGTTGAAGATAAAACCTTGTTAATCAACTTGTGTCAATTTTTGTGTGTGAAATAACCGCCTGGTTCATCCTTCTCCATTGCTTTTCTTTGATCGGTTGGAACAACCAACCGATCTGGTGCCACGACCTTTCTCCTCCAACCCTCAAAAACCAATTTGTTGGGAGTCCCGACTCCCGACAAACTGGTGCCACGACCCGGGAGCGTCCGTCGTGGTCTTCAACAACAACTTCAACTACTACTACTCTAGTGGTGTGTGAGCTGAGCGACGGCCACAACAACAACCACCACTACAACCACTCCAACTCTTTTTGGTTGAGCTGAGCGACAGCCACCAACACTAGAACTACTCGAGTGTAAGCTGCACTACAGCCACCACCGCACCAACTACAACAACTTCAACTACTTGTGTTTGAGCGGAGCCACCGCCACAACACTCTACAACAATCACTCTATTTTTTGTGTGTGAGCTGCACTACAGCCACCACCACAACACTACTACACCAACTTCCACTCTTTTGGTTGACTGAGCAACAGTCACCACAACAACAACTTCAACTGATTTTTTGTGTGAGCTGAGTAACAGCCACGACAACTACAACTACTTTTTTTGAACTGAAGTGAGTTACAACCACAATGTCTGCAGTTATCCGTCTCCAGTTAGCAACTGTGTTGGCCACCTTAAAAGAAAAAGGGCGTGCTGTTCTGAGTGCCCTCAACGCTAACGACACTTCAACACAAGAAGATGATCACTTGGAACTTTTGGCATTCCAGCTCAAACAAGCTATTGGAAGAGCAGGAGCACTGGTTGATAAATGGTATGGTGTGATTGCCAGGCTACCTCCAACACAACAACAAACCGAAATGGATATTTTACAAGCGTTTCCACCGCCACGAGGTGAAGAAAGAATGGAGGATGAACTTACTCTTTTGACTCAAATTGAACGATCTTATGAACTGGTTGCCTTGGCCAACGTGGAGTTACAACAACGACATGCACTAAATCGGGGTCCTGCCTCGTCTCAACGAAGTGTGAAGTCTGCCACAGTGGTAAACCGTCGAACTGACAATGCACTACACAAGGCACAACCAACACTAGCTAATGCACAAGGAAGCCAATCACCTGAACAACCTGCTCTGTCTACACAACGTGCAACTCAAATTAATGCTAATAGACTTACGGTTGCGGGTGATTGTGCAAATGTTCATCACACTCATTTAGCTAGTCAATCTGGACTTTCGCCGTATCAACAACAAGGGACATACAATGGTGCACCAATTTACTCATCCTTCCGACCATTCAGACTAGAGCCGATGAAATTTGCTGGCGATCCAAAGGAGTGGACTGCATTCTGGTTGGCCTTTGATCGTGCTGTGAACAGACAACCACTCCCGCCGTTCGAAAAGCATTTGTGTTTACTCCAAAGCCTGGTACCTGGTTCGGCTGCACGACGGGCAATTGATGGTTACTCACCGTCGGATGTGAATTACCCGATGGTTGTCAGCATACTACGACGTCAATTTGGTGATGTTAAAGTACTACGCGAAGGACTTATTGCCGAACTTCTTCACCTGCCGTTGGCCAACAACTCACTGTTTTCACTGAGCAATCTTCAAGAACATGTTGAGAGAATATGCCTGCAACTGGAGTCACCTGAGGGAACGAATGTAACACAGGACGAAATAGTGTGTGGCATAATCCGATCAAAGCTACCACATGAAGCTCTGGAGACTCTGATTGGCTGGGAAGAAGATGAAAATGCTCAATGGACTCTGGCACAACTCCGCAAGGGACTTGGACGTCTGGTTCAACTCAAACAAAGACTGGAGACCACCATCACCACTCTTCGTGCAAACACGCTAGAACAACAAACCACGTTTGAGGAACAACCTCATCACAACCAGCTGACTAATCAAAGTGACCACCACGAACTAACTGGCGTCTCTCGTTCATTTATGACCACGCAACCAACAGGCCAGCTAGACGAACAGTATGAACTACATGCTCGTCCACTACAGTCACCACAAGAGGAATATGGTTGCTCACTGTGCCGTACTGGACCACTTCACAAGCCAAGCCGTTGTCCAATGTACAACACGCGCCACAGACGCAAAACTCGTCTCCTGGAACAAGGACGGTGTCTCAACTGCTTACATGATGGCCACCTGCTCAACCGATGTCATGCCGCTAACAAATGCCGAAGATGTGGAGGACGACACCACTTCATGCTGTGTATAACACGTCAACCTAAAAGGCGTATGTACTACTACAATGGTCACCACGATGGACCGTCTGAAACCAATTGGAGACAACCTCAATCAAAAAAGCGTGTGTACTACAAAGCTGGCCATCACGAAGGATCGTCTGAAGCAAACTGGAGAATGCCTACACCAGCGCAATCTGAAGTGACCTACTCTGGAATGGTCATCAATAGCTCAACCACCATCAACTCAAAAGCGGACTACAGGCCGTCAACTACCACAACCGTGCACCACAAGGCAAACAAACGCCACCGTCGACGCAAAATCTGGTTAAATTCAAAGCTGAAGGACAGTCTGCTCAACTCACAAAATGGTCAAGTGATTCCTCAAACCAGCATAGCGTTTAACAATTCAGCCAGTTCCAACCACACCAACTCTAATGTACTTATTGAAAATGCAACAACAGCAACAAAAAGCCAATATACTAGCTCAACCTTGATTAGGATAACTGGTTCCAAACGTCCTGGAGGCACTGAGTGTGAAATTGTACAAGAGGGGAAGTTGGATGAACAATTTGTTAGTGTGGTGAATGAAATACCGACTAAATCACTCTTCGTTGCAAAGAGGTTCAGTTCATTGCTTACCTTGCTTGGAACAGTCATTTTGGTGCTCCGTCTCATCAAACTCAGTCGTGTACATTCTCCAACTTCTACAAATGGCATTTTTATCGCAAATGGTTACCGAATTGCACGTTCTTTGCTCATCCGACTAGCTCAACATGAATATAAACTGGAACCGAAAAGCGAACATAGTGTGATCAACTCGGATGGAATAATTCGGATAAAAACAAAGACGATGTGTCGACCAATCTCAATCGCAATTGTGCTAAGCTTACTAGGATTTGTATGGACTCTATTACTGTGGTTGATTAAAGGAGCGGAACTTGTTTGTCAAATGTTGGCTTGGACTGCCACAGGCCTTGCACTTGTTTTTATCTGGTTTAATATTTGTGGAACGACCACGGCTGTCACAGATCAATCAAAAACGAGCTTTTTAACCGCTGTAAGATATCCATCAATTCACCAAGCTGGAACGACCGCGTCTGCTACATCGACGAGCTTTTTGCACGCTGGAAAATGCTTGTGTCTTAGTCAAGCTGGTATTACCCGGGCTGTTACTGATCAACTGAATATGAACTGCTCTTCAGTCAGAAAAATTGGCACGAGTACTCGACAACAAGAAGTCACGGTATGGAGTGCCGCCCCTCACCAAAAGCTCGAAAAAGGGGAACTAGTGAAAGCGCACTTCATTATCATCGTCACCGATCTGGACGCAATCACCTGTTCCGACGAAACATGCCGTCAACAGTCTCGGGAATGCGGCTCAGCGTCAACACTGGTTGCACTGAATGAGGATGAAGAATACAGATGAATTTGACTGATCTTTTGTTTCTGGGGGCGGGGGGAGTGTCGCCAATTTTGGCGACTTTCAGTGAATCGTCTTTTTTGTTAATAGTCCCCCGTTTACTTTTCGTTAATTTTTTGGCCGTTCACCCCGTATTTTTTGTTGTCCACTCAACTTTTTTCCCTCCAAAATTCCTTTAACTAATTTTTTAGTGACAGCTCGTGCCTGTCACAACTTAATTTTTTTCCTATTGTTTTTTCTGCTTGTTTTCTCTGTCCCGTTCTCTCTCTACATTTTTCTTCTATAACTTGTTCACACATTTTTGCAAATTCGCATTTTATTTTGGAATTTTTCTAAACTCCTCCCATTTCAATCTCTATTTAAGCCGATGAACAAGCCCTTAAAATTAGCTCAGTTCTCAATTCCAACTTAATCAACCATCATCAACTGCTAATTTGTGGGCTTGTTCGTGGCCTCCCATCATTGGCTTTACTGTGCTGTTTTGCTACTATTTTTTGTGAAAGTAAAATTATTGTTGAATTGTTGTTCTATTTTGTTTGAGTGGAAAAGTGAACCGCCTCAAGGTTCACTTTCTGTTCTTCATTCTTTTGACTGTGTCGGCACTACCGACCAGTCTGGTGCCACGACCTTTCCTCCAACTCTCAAAACCCAATTTGTCGGGATCCCGTCTCCCGACATTATTTGTATCTCCATTTGTCAGCCCAATTATAAAATTAATTTTTAGCGGATTTTTCTAAAATTTAAATGGATCCTCTCTCCAAATATAGTAAAAAAATTTGTGGAAATAAACGATTAATTGAAAATTTAAAATATGAAATAAAATGCCATGAAAAAGAAGGAAAATTAGTTTGGACAAAGAAATTACTTACTCCCCCATTTAATTGTTCAATTTGTTCTCAAGTATGTTCGTATCATTATTATGGTGTTTTGTGTTGCGAAGGCAAGTTTTTAAAAAAATAAAATCCGAGTGATATGCTAATTTACAAGGTCCCGGGGATCACGGATATTTACATGGGCTCAACTAATAGTCCACAAAGAATGGTTCCTATTTTCTGTGGATTTTTCCTTAAAATATATAAAATTTAATCATCATATTTAGGATGCAAACAATTTTTTCGCCGAATCATCATTAAACAAAAAATTCCTACATGCATAATAGATTACAGATGCGATATTACACAAGGTAGTTTATAAATATACTAAATTGATAATCTAATAAATATTTTTAGTGTTGTTTTATTAAACAAATAAATAAAGGTTATAGGGGTAATCCGGGGTAAGCTTATCTAATGGGAGCTTACCTGCAGGGTAGGCTTACCGTTCGATTCCTACATGCATAATAGATTACAGATCCTAATACCATCGAACTTCCTATTATGAAGTGATGCGGGTTTTATTGCAAAATGACTTTGGGCCGAGTTATGACCGTTCAAAGTTAGACTGATAGAGTTTGGAAATATAGGGTATTAAATTCAACTGATGTGAGTAGCTTACACCGCTTCTGACATATCCAGAGCCCGTAGAATAAATTCAGGGTAAGGGATATTTACCCCTAAGAAGGTTTAGAAACCTTCGTACAAGTAGAATTTTGCAGAAATGTCGTGTATTTCGACTGTTTAAAATTAATAATGGACATTAATATTTTTAAAATTAATAATATTTGGACAATTTTTTATCTAAAAATAATATTTTTAGGAGATCGTTGTCAAGGCTGTAGATTCAATAAATGCCTTCTAATGGGAATGGATGCCTCCCTTATTTGTGTACAGAATCCAGAGAATTTAGAGAAATTTATTGAGAATTTAAAAGAATATCAATTGGAAGTGATAGCTCGATATTATGAACAAATTGCTCCTAATAGCGATAATCAACTTGATTATGATTGTAATAAATTATGTTAAAATCTTATAAATTTTTTTTCAAAATTTTTTTGCGTAGCATTTTTTGCGTCCAATAATAAAATTTATTATAAAATTTTTCTATCAATTTTTCTATGGTCTTGGGAAGCATTTATTTCGATTTGCTCCGAGGCTAACTAAATTTTTTATTTGCTTTCGATTCGAAACAAAAATTTTATTTCTATCATCCAGATTGGAACATCTGGAATGTTAGAAATCTGAAAAGTCGGGAATATGAACTTCTCAAAAATTTCAGATCGGAAATTGAAAGTTTAAAAAGTTCGAAATCAAAAGTCATACACAAATTTAAATTCTGCTGAAATAAAAATATTATCAAATTTAATTTTTTTAGTTGTTTTTTTAATTTTATTTTTATTACGAAAAATAAAAATTTTTACGTTTATTATCAAATTAAAGTAAAACTAATTTGCAAAAATTTCATAAATAAATGATTGATTGTAGAAAACAAATTAAAAAAATAGCTGAAAATTAATTTAAAAAAAATTAAATTTAACTTGTTATTTAAAAAGAAAATTTTTTTTATTTGTAAAATATTATGCCTTTGTGGGAGGTTTTTTACAAATCTAAATTTTTTAGATGTCCTTTCTCAAATTAATTAAAAAAATTTAATTATTTAAGGGGTAATTAAATAATAAAATAATTCATTTTTTTTATTAAAAATAAAATTTTTAATAAAATAATTTAAATGTCTATAGAGAAGATCCATGCATTATTTATTCCATTTTCTTCATTATTATGAAAATTTATTATGAAATAACCTAATTTAAAATACTACATAAATCCCTATGACGAACTTTCTTATTTTTTGGTTAAAATTAGCATGTAGGAAAACATTATAAATTTAAGCAAAATTTTAAAAAGTGTATCACTATATAATAAATCCTACTCAATACAAGAAAATCTTGATTTCCAATTTAATTCACGAAATCACGGATTTATTTTTTCTGTAGGATCTCTAATAGATACAGGATCTCTAATAGATGTATGTAATTGTAAAAATAAAAAAAATGTTTCTGTTAGGATATCTTAATAGTAAAATTCTATATAATCGGATTAGGACGAGTAAATGGGATCTGAGCTACATATTTAAAAATGATATGTTTAAATAAATTAAGGAAAAATATTTGATATAATAATTATGTCTTCCGTTAATTTCATCGTTTTTCTTTTACTAATTTCCTTGATTTGTCTGCATTTTTTGGTAGATTGTGGAATTATAGGTAGAGAATTTTTATATAAAAATATTTTAAAAATTTTAATTAGGCCTTGCTGGAGCTCCAGTTGAAGCCACATGGTGCGCAGCACTCGGCAAAGAATCAACTCATTGTCCTCAAGGAGCTAATAGTAATCCACTTGTGGGACTTGCGGGGGGACTTACTGGTTAAATAATCAGAATAATTGAAGAAAATTTAAGAAAAATTTTATATGTATGTAAGAGGAAATACAAAAAATATTCTATTTTTGTAATTAATTCATAAATATTGATGTAGCAGGTGTAAATAAATATAAATACAAAAAAATATATTTTTCTTCTGAGTTGGGCCATATTTCAGGGTTTTATAAATAATCAATTTATAAAAATAAAAAAATACTTATTATTATGAAACTTCAATTGTAATAGACAAAAATTAATAAAAAGGCAAAATAAATAGGCAAAATAAACTATTAATATAAATATTTTATATGACTTTAATAAATGAAAATATTATTAATTTTCGCTTGAACTTTGCATTGAGTTTTTATTTTTTTTATAATTCCATGTTTACTGCCAGTTTTAATAATTTAATAATTCTCTTAGCTAAATTTATTTTAAAGCCCCAACTTTATTTAATTACCATTAAGCACTAAATAAAGTTATACTAAATTAGTAAAACGCTGCAACTTTTATAATGAACTTATTATACCTTAAGAAACCTTCCTCTCCTATAATTAAAGCAAGAATAGTACATTTCCGACTTCTTCGCCTGACCTATAGTGAAGTTAGTTAATTCACCTCAAAGAATTGACGAGAATGGAAGCCTCGGATGGATCAATTGGATATTTTTAATTATGAAAAAATTATTTTTTATTACGGCACGGGCTTTGTTGATAGTCCTATTTAGTACAAATAGGAAATTAATTAAGTCTATGTAACGAAAGATTTGTTAAAAAACATTTAATATTTAAATTAAAATACTAAAATTATTTTAAAATAAAAATTTTAATTAAACATTTATTTGTATAATTGTTGTAAATATAAAAACCTCTTTAAATTGTTATTGCGAATTTTCATTTATTTTTATTTATTCCCAACAAAATAAATATGTATACGTGGCTTATTTAAAAATAATTTTACGAATTTGAGGTGTTGATCTTATGATTTTTGTAAATAAATATTATTTAAAAATAACTTTAAAAATTTAAGAAAATTTGATTGTTTTTATAAACAATTATAAGTTTTGTGTAGCAATTATTTAAATTAAAAACAAAAATTTATTTGTTATTTATTTGAGGAATGGCTTTTAATAGACAAATCATTTGATTAACAATTTTTAGTGGTATTTCATGTGAAATTTTGTATGTATTTAAATAATAAACTGTTAAGCAATAACAAATCAGTCTTGATCAGAAAAAACTTCCAGCCAAAATTAATTTATTTATTAAATAAAAATGAAGCTAATTCTCGTATTTTTATTTCTGTTCGCGTTCATAGAATTTGGAATGGGTTTGGTCAGATTTAATTTATTATAAATATGCATACGAAAAAAAATCTGAATATTAGTGGCGTTAAAAATTTAAAAATTTTTTTGATTATCCAATTTTGATTATCCAACCACATTCGACCATTTAAACCCCATGTTCCTCACAAAACGATGAAGATCGCCAAACTACAAAATTTATCAAATTTAATAAATTTTCGGGATTTATGTCGTTTTTAGCTCGGTAAATGTCCAGCTCGGTGTTCACATGTCAGTAAAAGGCATTCTGTATAATGTAAAGATAACTTTTGTTTTTGAACAAATAATATTAATTAAAATAATTCAGATCAGATGCAAATGGGACGGTCATTGTACGGGAAGTGGAAAGCCAGACAGAAACACTCTTTGTGGAATATGTTACAGCTGTACCTACAAGGGATGTTGCCATTGGTTATACACTTTTGTTAATGTGTGCTGCCAAATTCCTGGTTGGCGCCATAAAGATTATCAAAAACGCTTCTGTAAAGGAGTATAAAAATAAGAAAAATATTTAAAAAACGAACTTATTATGAACGATAATTAATTTTATGTGTAATTTAAATTGCTAACATTTTAAAATTATTAATTAAATATAAATTAATATTCATATTTTGGATAATATAATAATATAATAATATATGTGCCTATTATAGCAAAGTTAATAAAATTTGTAGAAAAAAAATAATAAAATTAATAAAGATGAGAATGAAAATATATGTATAATTGATTTAAAAAATGAAAAAAGCTAAACAAATAATAATAAAAAAATAATTATAAATAATAATAAATAAACTAAAAGAAATAATTTCTTCACTGCCACCACAATATTTTTTATAAAGATTTGAAAATTAAACATTAGTGTAAAAAATTAAAAATTTTAAATCATTAAAATTTAAAAATTTATTAAACATTAAAAAAATTTTTTGTATTTAATTAGACCTTCTCCATACTAACCCAATAATCCTGAATAAAATTGATACGTTAAATTTTATCTTAATTAGGAAAATTATCAAAGTCTCCATCTCAAATTAAAATAAAATTTTCTCATATTTTATTACTTTAAGATGTTTAGAAACAAAAAATTAACAAACATTTTAATGTTGCCTTGATTTGACAATTATAAGTTAATTTAATTTTCTTCTCATAACACTACGTAGATTTTTAAAATAATTCTTATGATTACTCGTTCTTGTACATTAATAAAAAATATTAAATTGTTTTCATATAAGCGAGAGAATATTTGTCTTAAAAAAGTAGGAAGTTAATCAAAACAATTTACTCTTTTTTCATACAAAAATTTTACTAAGATTTTATTTGTGTCAAATAATAACCAAAACTTTCGATATTTTCGAATGATGTTTTATGGAAATTTGTAAATATTTAAACAAAGATTTCTATGTAATGGTAAATGATAATTTTACTCAAAATTAAAATCTTTAAAATTTAATTTATTGTCAAATAAAAATGAAGTTTATTTTCATATTATTTTGTCTATTCGCCTTGATTACTTCTGGAATGAGCACGGTCAGATTTTATTAATTTAAATATGCCCAATAAAAGAGAAGTAATGTTTAATTGGAAATAAAAATGTAATGGAAAATATAGAAATTCAAAAATCAGACAGAATTCCAGAAATCCTTAAAATTAAAAAATTCCCTCAAAACATTAGGGGTACAAGTTTTTAAATGTTCTTATAGGAATGTATATACGGTGCTGTTAAAAATAACTAATTCGGGACTGAGTTATCCAAATATTATCAAAATTTGCATTTAAATACTAAAACGAATTAGAAACATGATGATAATAAAAGATATTATTTTAGTATCGATAGATATTATCCAAATAATATTATCCAAATATATAATTTTGAACACGTCAAAATTTACAGAATTTTTAAATTTTTAAACTCTTTATAATAATTTCAAAATCCTTTATTATCATCATGTTCCTAATTCGTTTTAGTGTTACAGCAAAATGTGATATTTGGATAACTCAGTTCCGAGTTATACCATTTTTTCTAGTGGTCTATAATTTTGAACAGCACTGTATACATATAAATAACAATATAAATGTATAAACTTAATTTCAAAAATCAGTTTTTTTGCCTAGAAATTTTAATGCTAGCTAAAAATTAAGTTAAAATACCCCATTTGACATACATATCTAACCTCCCCTCATCTTCAATCAAAATTCTGATCGGAATAAAATTAATTATTTTAAAATTATTCAGATAAATTGTAATCCGGATGGTAATTGTTCTGGGGATGGTGAACCGGGTCCAAGAACTCGTTGTGGAAACTGTTTTAGTTGTACCTACAAAAATTGTTGCCATTTTATATACACTTATTCGTTTATTTGTTGTGATATAGAAGGCTGGCGACATCGAGATTATCAATGGAACTTGTGTAAAACCTAAATAAAGACTTTTAAAAACAGTAAAAATATCTTAAATTTTTTAAAATTTATATAAAAATATTTATATACGTGAAAGAATATTTTAATCTTTTTAAAAAGTGAATAAAATTTTAATTATTTCTATAATTAATTTCAATATTTATTAATTTTTATAGTCTTAATCAGGGCTTCGATTTCTGCGGATTTTTCCTCATTTTGTGGTTTTTTGATAGGGCGATGAGGATTATTTTTAAAAATGCGGATTTGCGGATTTTTGTGGTCTTTTGAAGATTATGAGGATTTTTTGTATTTTCTTGTAGTTTTTGGGATAAAATGTCATTTTTTGTCTTCATGGCCTTCAAAAATCCGCAAAATTTTTGCCTGCGGCGCTGAAAATGGATGAAATCTAGTTTCTTGACCTCCAAAATTCAAAAAATTATCGCCTGCGGCGCTAAAAAAATGAATTTTTTGGCCTACAGCCATCTAAAATTCTCAAAATTTTCGCCTGCGGCGGTGAAAATAAAAATTTTATGCGCCTTCGGCGCCTAAAATTTGGCACAGAAAATTTCCCCCCTTGGCCCCCCATCCCCCGAAAAAAAATCCTGGCTACGGGCCTGGCTCATGTCAACATAATTTTTCATTTAATTGTTCGGATTTTAATAAAATAGTCATTAGTAGGAAAAAATTGCCCAATTCAATTGTTGGAGTCAAAAAATATAACGTATAAAGTGATTTTAATTCAACTTTTGTGTTTGATAATTTTTTGCGGATTTTTCATATCAAATGCGGATTTTTTCGATCAAAATTGCGGATTTTTAAAAATTCGAGATCGAAGCCCTGGTCTTAATTATTTCTAAATAAATAACTGTACATATTTTAATAAAGTTAAATTTCTTTTTGTTATTTTTATGCAAAACATAAAAAAATAACCGAGATTGAAAAAATGGTGGGCAGAAAATATTTATGTATAAATCTAAAAATTTTTCTGAAAAAATTAATTTTATCTATCGTATTCACTCCTAAATATTATATTCACTCCTAATAATATTATTATATTATGTGGGCCAATAAATATTAAAAAATAAATCGGTTTGGACTTTCTTTAATTAAATATCTCATTGCAAATTCTTTTAAAAAAATATCTTAAACCATTGTAATTTATACAAAGGTTTAATTACCCAAGTTTAAGTTTAAGTTATAAGTTAAAAGTTAATAACTTATGGAAATCGATAATTCATCTAACATGTCAACACCGCTAACTATTAATGGTATTAACAACAAAAAACTGAAATTACATCAATTATCTAAAAAATTGACTAATTTCTCTGAGCAATTTTCAAAAGATATGCCACCATGGGCGGCAGCAATGCTAGAAATTTGTAATTCAGTAATGGAATTATGTAAGGATATTCTTACAAGTGAACAAGAACAACAACAATCAGAAACGAATCCTAAATCTTTATTTGGAGACCCTTTCTCTGCTAGCAAAAAACATCAAAATTCCTCTTTTAATGATCAATCATATTTTGCCAACATATTAAACAACGCTATTCTTGATGCTGACGAAATTAAATCTAAATCTAAAAGAGTGGTTATTGAACGTGCTCCAGACAACACAGACATCATTAATATAGCTAAAAAAATTGCAGCTGATTGTGGAGTGGCAGAAGATTTGTTGGAAAACGAAATTCATCGTCATCCACGTGAGTCTAAAGATGTTATAAATAAAAAACCAAGAATCGTTAAAATTCCATTCACCAACAAAAAATCTAGGGATAACTTTTTATACAATTTTCGTAAATGTCTTAAGAAAAATCCAGCTTTTCCGCAGTTCATAACTGCAAGACGTGATATGACTCGTAATGAACTAAATATATTGTATAACTTGCGAAAGCAAGCATTTTCTATGAATCAGGCCGAGAACATGTTTAAGTACATAGTTGTCGACCTGTCAATAATTACACTCAAAAATCCACAACCGCTCAGGGCAACCAAAAATAAATAGGGACACGCAGGCAAACCGCAGACAAAAGTAAATAACGGAAATTTTCAATCATATAAATGTTTGTTATTTAATTCTAGATCCCTAGCTAATAAAATACCGGATTTAAATCAATTAATCGAAAATTCTAATCCACAAATTATATTAATCAATGAAACATGGCTCACAACAGAAAATACAATAAACTCCGAACTATCACATAGGGGCAATTATGAGATTATATTAGCTAATAGAATAGGAAAAAGAGGTGGAGGATCGGCAATTTTATTAAAAAATGACATACCATTTAAAATAATTTTTAATGGCTCTAAATTCCAATCAGAGATAATACATATAAAATTATTTCTCAAAAAAGAAATTAACATTATAAACATTTACCGCCCACCAAATAGTTCAATTATTAATACAAAAAAATTATTTAAGTTTCTTTTAAATCTAACTGATCAAAAAACAATATTATGCGGAGATTTTAATATTAGACACATAAATTGGGATTCTAAAGAATTAACCGACAACTATGACAAGATCGCGAATATGTTTTTAGAGTTTATAGGTCAAAATCAATTAAATCAACTTGTTACTGAACCTACTAGAGAAAATTCAATCCTGGACCTGGTACTCACACCTGCTTCCAATTTAGTCAGAAATGTTTATGTTAGGGAGAATTTTTCAACTTCCGATCACAAAATGATAGAGTTTGAGTTATATGATCAGATCAAAGTCTTTAGAAAACCAAAAATTTATGTCAGAGATATAAGTAAATCCAATTTTAATAAATTGAATCAAGTTATTTTTAAGAATAATTTAGATCTAGGTATATTAACTAAGTTCACTGTAGAAGATAAATATGATTTTCTGACGAAAGAATTGTTATATCTTTATAACAAATATATACCAATGAGAACTTTGAATAAGATAATAAGGAAAACATACCCTAAACGGATTAAGGAATTACACAAAGAAAAACTTAGATTATTCAGAGTCCTTAAAGAAAGAAAACATGATCACGAGTTGAAACTTGAGTATAAAATCGTTTCAAGAAACTTGAAAAAACAATTAAAAATTCACCATAATACTAAGGAAGAAAAAATAATAAATAAAGGTGGAAATTCGATACATAAGTTTATTAGAAACAGACTTACCCAAGATAATAACATACCCTGTTTAATTGATAAAGAAAATAAATTTTACTTTAGTAATGAAGAAAAATGTAATGTTTTAGGAAAAGAATTTCAAAAAAACTTCCAAAATAAAAATATTAATCTATCGAATTATAACAGAAATATAATTCCGAAAACAAAATTTTTAGACATAGATTTAAGTACTAGCACTGTGTGGGATGTCCTCAGATCACTTCCTAATCGTAATTCAACTTCTCCAGATAACATTCCTTATATATTATTAAAATATTGCGCTGACACACTTACAAAGCTAATCACAGATATCTTTAGATGTATTATTGATAATGGGCAAATTCCATCAATTTGGAAATCATCATTTATTATTCCATTGTATAAAAAGGGAGAAAAATCAGATCCAAAAAATTATCGTCCAATATCGCTAACATGCACCTTATGTAGGGTTCTTGAAAGAATTATTGCACAGCAATTAACAAAATTCTTAGAAGATAATAAGTTCTTTAATAAAAATCAATTTGGATTTCTTAAATCAAGATCCACAACCACACAGTTATTATCTACCATGGATGATTTCTATAATGCAATACAAGATGGATATAGCATAGATATTATTTATATAGACTTTGCTAAGGCATTTGACACTGTACCAATAAATATTCTTTTAGATAAATTAGAAAAGGCAGGCATAAGTGGAAAAGTTTATACTTTTCTTAAAAACTTCATATCGGATAGGAATTTCAAGATTAAGATAGGTGACCAATTATCCCAAAACTATGAAACATTATCGGGTGTACCTCAAGGAAGTGTCTTAGGGCCACTTTTATTCCTTATTTTTATAAATGATCTTCCTAATGAAATCCCTGAAAATGTTGGAGTAAAACTATATGCAGACGATGTAAAATTATATATAGCTCATAAAAACGGCATAGAAAGAGATCAACTTAATAAAGCTTTATTTAAACTTGAAAAATGGACAGAAGATAATGGTTTAGAAATATCCCCAAATAAATGCTATGTTTTATATTTAGGTAAAAATAACATGAAAAAAGAGTATAGCATTCATGGATTAAAAGTACAAGAAACAGAATGTATTCGTGATCTTGGAGTATTAATTGATTCAAAAATATCATTTAATAACCATATAAATATGATTATAAAAAACGCATATCTAAAGAGCTTCCAAATAATAAGAATAATTAAATCTAGAGATTTAAATCTCCTCGTTAATATATATAAAACATATATAAGATCCCAACTAGAATATGCAACTGAAGTATGGAATCCACAAATGAAATATCAAATAGATAAAATCGAAAAAATCCAAAAACTATTCACTAAAAATATTTACAAAAAATGCGGCTTAGTTAAGGTCCCATATGAAGAAAGATTAATTACCTGTAAACTCGAAAAGTTAATAGATAGAAGAAAGGTTGCCGATCTATCCACCGCCTTTAAAATTATAAAAGGCTTTACATCTCTTAATTCCCAAAAATATTTTAATTTATCAAATAGATCTCTTCGCAGGCCTCTACTTCTTAGGACAAAAAAATATATAAATAGAACAAAAAATAATTTTTTTCACAGAGTAGTAAATAACTGGAATAATCTTCCAAATGAGTCATTTAAATTAACTGATCCGAAAAAATTTAGAAGTTTTATTAAACAGTATTTTAATGATAAAGTAAAATACTAAAGACATAAAACCCTAGCGTGTGTGTTTTTTAGAGTGTTTTTTTACTATTTTCTTATACATATTTTTTTAATTTTTTTTTAAATTTATTCATGTTTTTGTTTGCTGTTTTTTCACATATTTTTTCAATTTGTATATTTTTTTATGCACCACTTTAATGTATTTTAAAATACCTGTGGTTTGCTGATAAATAAATAAATAAAAAAGAGTTCGAATAATTTTTAAAAGAATATTTAAAAAAATATAAAAATAATTTTATTTTTAAATTAATTTTCAATTTTTTCTTTTGTAATATTTAAAAATTTATTTTGTTCATTTCCTTCAATAATTTCAATATCCTCATTATTTTTGATTGCAATAACATTAGTTTTTGTTTCTTTAGAGAAAAGTTTAAATAACCATTTAAATTCATCTTTTAAAGCCAAATTATGTTCAGTACTTTAAATAATTAATTAAAAATATTTAGTAAATTTAATTCAATCATTCTCTCTACCTTACAACAAACAAAACGGGAACTTCGATAGTTGAACTTAGAGAGGATAAACAATTTATAAATCCGTGAATAATATGAGATTGTATTTCAGTTAAGGATATTTGCCCTACAATTTTGTAAGAGATACAAGAAAAGAAATACCCAAAAATTTGGATGGCCATAATAATTGCGAGTGTTTTGTAGAGGGCTTTACGTAATAAACAAACTGATAAATATAAAATAAAATTTATTTAGATAATTTTATTTTTACTCTGTCCTTTCAATTGGTCATATAATAATTTTAGAAACATCAAAATATAACAGATTAATGTTAAACAAATTAATACAAGCTGTGCATCCAATAAAATATCCTTTCCATCATTACCAACCAATTCGGGGAAATAACATTGAACTTGCCTTTTAGTTAAATATTATTTATAAAATTTAAAGTAGTAAATCTCTGATTGAACAGGAGCCGCGTTTAGATTAGGATTTTTAAACAGGGTTACCGTATTTTCTTGATGAATTCCCCTTGGGAATTATTTTTCACCGTTCCTCGGCATGGGTAATTAATCGAGAGAGGGAATTGTTCGAGGGAGGGGAATTAATCGAGAGAATACGGTAAGCGGTATCGGGATCCCACCCGGTATTATACGGTCTCTTTGAATCTCGATACCGATTTGCTTCACAGAATCCCAGTACCACTTAAATATTTTTAAATAAGGCTGAAACTTAATGTCCACGGAACTTTACAGTAAATTAATTATATTAAACAAAAATAAACTTACAAGAAGGGATCTTGTATAACTGATCTAATAACAAATCCCAAAAATACAAGAGGGAATGAAAATGATATCAAATAAATTAATTTTAAATAATGTTTTTCATTTCGGGTTGAATACCTAAAATATAAAAAAGTAAGAAAACCCCTAAAAGTAAATCCGAGTTGGTAATCAAGTTCTTAATCAAAGGACTCTTTCGAATGCCCTTTGATTAAAAAATATAATAAAATAATTAACCAAATAGGTAAGAAAATAGCCAACATTCTGTCAAATCCAATTATTAGCATTAATGAAAAAACATTCATACTCCCACCAATTAAAAATATTTGAATTATAGCACAATATAAAAGAGGGATTCTTCCATATCCAGGAAGGATAAATAAAATAAATGGAAGTAATATTTGGATTTTTGATAAAAGAGAACAAAATCCATAAATTCCCAATAATAAATGGCAAGTCCCGTGTAAACGCCTTTAAATTTGATTTAAAATTCTAAGAATATTCTAATAGAATGGCAGCCGTTCTATTAAATGAAGAACACAGAACGGGAGCAGGCAAGTGTACCGCGAGCCCAACGCTATAACTTTATCCAAAATTGTCGAATCTGTGGCGCCCTGGTTTGGTTCGTGCATCTCGACCAGCTGAATCGAGCCATACTAGGGCGCCACGGATTCGACAATTTTGAACAAAGTTACACCTCGGCGGTACATTGGGCTCGCGGTACATCAGGTTCAATTGGGGAATTATCAGATTAAGTTTCGATTCTAAATTCTATCAATCCTAATTAATGACTGAGCTTGACTTGGACTAATCTATAGACAATTCATAAAACTCCAACTTCAAATAAAAGCTGCCATTCTATTAATGAAAATAAAATAATTTATTTATACTTTTGTTTAATTGTAACAAAAATTAGAAGAGCGTATAAAACAGTTCCTATTTGGTCAACAAAAGTATTTATTCCAAAAGTTATTTTTGCAATATTTACTTCTCTAACGTCAGTCATAGTTTAATTTAATTCCACTGAATTAACCTTAAAAATGACAAAAGTAACCTTAAAAATGATAAAGTTCATTATTTATTTTTAATAAACAGAAATTGAGGAGAATAAAAATTAAAAAAACCCTGGAAACGGAACAATGAAAAGTTTAAATTTTATTTAAATTTTATAGAAAAAATTATTTAATTAATTATTATTAATAATAAAAGGTTAATGACAAGAAGGAACTAGAATGACAAAATTAATTTAATAAAAGTAACTTTGAAAGAAAATTTAAATAAATTGCCAGGTGTAATATTTTTCTCTTTAGAATTTCGTAAACAAAACTTTTAAAAATTAAATTTTAAACAAAATGGCATTTATTAAATATTCGTTTATGATATTTAATTCCTTCTCAATAATATTTAATTATAATTTTTGGTACATAATACGTAATTTAAATGATATTTCTGAATTAATTATAACTTTATTTACTTACTGATTTACATATGTCTAGACAATAAAAAAATATTTAAAAAGCTTTAAAGCTGATAACTTTTAATTGAAAACAATCTTCATACATAGGCCGGTTAAATTTTCATTCAACGCAAAGATCGATGGAAAATAAACTACATATACAGGAACTTTTAATTTTTTCCAGAAATTTTTGATTTTATTAATAATAATATTCAGAAAATTTAATTCAAATAAAACTAATATTTATGTAAACAGTTTAAGTGAGAGAAAGGACATGGTTCTAAAATGAATCCAGATACTAAATACATATGTCAAAAATCTCAATAAACATTATACTACTATTTATTCGATAATTTATTTTCTATTAAATAATTATTACAAAAATTTAGTTAATATACTATAAATTTTTAAATACATATAGAATTAAAATGTTTGAAGAATCAACTTCTTTGTAAATTGTTTTTTTGTTTACGAAAAAATAAATATTTTATGCAGCGCATGCAGGGTCATAGCCAAATTGATAGCTCATCTCATTCGCCCCGACGCGGCAACGATAGTTAATAGCATTACGTTTCTTCCCGTTTTTGTCCATTATCTCCTCATGGCCCATTTCTATTGAAGTGTCTTGCATATCACCATATGGATGTTGGTCAAATTCATGGCTCATCTCCATATTTGTGTGCATTCCACCTTCTGAATAATTAAGAGATTGATAAATGAAAAGAACAATAAGATGCTCGGAAAGGGAAATCATCTTGAGGATTGATTAAGATTTTAAATTTATATCTCAAAATTTTGTTCGATCACAAGTTTTTAATTCAACATACCATCACTAGCATCTATGTCCATTCCATGTTCGCCTTCGTTCTGTTCACTTCCTTCATGTTCATCTCCTTCCCCCAATTCTTCTGACATATCATTATGAGGACCGTGATTATATTCATGTTTGAAGGAAAATTTGTTGGGATTTTTATAAGCTGATTTAGGCTTATACATCATCTCATTGTCATCACCTTCCTCTGACATATCTTGTTGTACTCCATGATTATATTGATGATTGAAGGAAAAGTTGTTGGGATTTGCAAAAGCGGCTTTAGGCATATACATTTCATTGGTAAACTTTTTTGTTCCAATTTTAGGATTTGAATGAGCGACTTTTGTGATCATTCTCATTTTGTTTCTCCCATCATGCTCATAAATCATTTTATTTTTATATCCGCCTTGCTCGTATTTTACTTTAACTCTCATAGGTTCTGGTTTCGGAGGTGCAGGAATATTTATGCGGAAGCGTTCGGCAACATAATTTTTAACGAAATGATCAAAGTCCTCATTGATTCGACCATGTGTTCGTCCATCGAACCACCCATGCAAATTCTTGATTAATCCCTCTGTGATTTTCTTTATTTCTCTAATCCTTTGACGGATTTTTTCGTATAAACAATGTCTTCGCCATTCAGGACAGAAATATTCATGATCATGTGTACCGTATTGAGCTAGCCAATTTATAATTGCATTGTCGAGTGCCAGGAAAAACTCTAGCTCGGCGCGGAACAGGAAAAGATCATAGGTGCAATTCTCTTCGCTTCCTTCTATAAATTATTAAATGTAATAGCTAAAAGGTGAACTCAATCTTCTCTAATAGAATGACTACCCGATCTTTTTGTACATTTGAAAATAGAATAATAGTTTCTATTAGAATGGCACTTAAATTGGGAAAATTAGGAAGGTAATTTTTATTAAAATGACAAGATCTATAACATATTAGAATTGCCGTTTGGTTGAACTTAGTGACCTTCTTATTTGAAGAAATTTGTTGTTTATAAGTGTTATTCGGGAACATTTGGATCATAAACTGATCAATGTTCCTTTAGACTCCTTAAAATCTATATTACCTTTTCCTGCGGCTTTTACCAAAGGAATTGAATTCATTACATTTGTCAAATTACGAAAAGCGTCGTCCAATTTTGTTTTTTCTGTACCAGCTGTAAACTTCTCGAAGTGGTCGAATAGTTGTTGTTCTGAGTGAAAAGCCGTACAAAAATCACTTGCTTGTTTAGACAAATGAGTGTTGAACTGTTCGATTTTCGTTGCCAGCGTCCAATATGCAACATTTGCTCCTTTCAGAGGAAATGCTATGAGGAAAGCTATAAATTAGTAATTAAATTATTAAAGATATTTTGTATAATAACGTTCTGATGGATGAGGCAATGAACGTGACTTGTGAAATTCATCAAGCAAAATATGGGCTAAATTATCCTTTAATTCATCTTTCGCCAAAGTTCTCGATTCTTTCAACTCATCAGATTCAAATTTTCTAATTAATGCACATACGGAACCATGCGCACCGCTAAAATGAATTATACAAGTTGCTAATTAATTAGCTTTGCGAATCTACCTGTTATCATTGAATTCGATCCCATTAGTAGCTAGTGCCGTTTTGAATCCACCTTCCAAAGGCATATTGAAACAAGAGTGTACACGCCAAAAATTCAAGGTGCAAAACATTTCAACATTCATCACCCAAGTAAAGTTGTTAGCAACAAGAGGCATTTTTTTAATTGACGAGATTAATTTATGCTTCTCCTCTGGTGAAAAAATGACAATATCAGAACTTTTGCATGAATTCTTGTAAGCAGCAATAACATGCTCAATCAACTCATTTTTGTCCCACGGTGTTGATTGTGGAGGTTTAACAGTCTCTTGTTGTTGAGGCACAGGTGCAGGTTGTGAAGGGGCTGGTTCTTGAACAAGAGCTGTCTTTGGTTTTGGTTTAGAGCGGGGTTTGGGATTATACACTTCATGTTGCATTGAATACTCCATTTCATGACCATTTGGTGTAGAAACATGGTTGAAGCTTTGGGTGAATTTGCGCATTTTCATCGCAGATTTTTTGGGAATTTGTTGCTTTGTCTTCGGATTTAAATATCCATTACCTCTAATAGCTTTATTAGGCGTTGAGATTTTGCTTTCAAATCTGACTCGACCTGCATGTCCATTTGACACAAATATTATAATAAAAATTCCAATGAGAAGTTCCAACCTCATTTGGATTAGGTATTTACCTTAAAATCCTTTTAAATTATTTTTTGGATTCGATTATTGGTAATCAAAGGAATGTTGCGAATGATTGATAGCTGCTGACAGACCTCTAATAAATATCCCTAATCATGAGAGTAAGCGTCTCATAAATGATTGAGAAATACAAAAGTGTCTGTGTTTCCCGACTTATCGCCGATGAGAGATAAACAGATTAGAGGGGGATAATCGCTTTAAAATAAAAAATGCCTATGGGAAGGGCATTTTATGAAACCAAAAGTGCAAGTGAGCAGGAAGGAAGATTTTTTATAACAATTAAAAAATGACAGTCTTAAGTTTATCAGCCATAAAGTGCAATTTCATTGTTTTAGACTTTTAGCCTTGTCGCCATTAATAGCAGATGTTTTTTTAAATGTTTCGAAAGGATTTTTAAATTACATAATGCTTATATGTAATATTATGATGTAATTTATGTAATTCTGAAAAAATTTGAGTAATTCGCTTGCTTTATTCTATTACCAGCGAATTGCTTTTAGGATTGAAAATTTTTTGTCTGAGAACTTTAAGCATTAATAAAAAATTTTTTATGTTATTGTTTTTTGATAATATTTTTAAATTTAATATTAAAATTAAATTAATTCCATAAATTTTCTAAAGTAATTATTGAAAAATGAATTTCTATAATTAAATTATTAAAAAATAACGATTTTTGAAATATTTTTAAAAAGTCAAATTAGAAACGATTAAATACTTTATTTTTCAAATACAGCCCATTGGGCTGTATTCTTCAACAGTCCTCCAGATTTGTGCTGTATTAGGGAGTGGAGCTCTAATTGAGAGTGGGGCTCTATCTTTACCTATATTTTTTTCTACCTAGACCTTTAATTCCTACTGACTCTGTGATCAACACAAATAGGGGGATTTGGAATGTTTTATGGAATATGTACATCATTTTGAAATATTTAAACAAATTGATTCTTTATATTAGTTATGTATAATTAATAAATTTCAACTTTTTTAGCTTATTCAATTAAATAAAAAATAATAATTTTCACGCTTTAAAATTTTATGTATGTATAATTACATTTTATGCATAATATTTCAATATTAATAAATTTTTGGGGTCAGTCGGTGGCCTTTCACAGAGTTGAACAAAGCTTAAGATCTTCATATGAAGATCAGGTAAACTTAAAATACCTGACATTAGAATACAGTCTTGTTTAAAGCTACTTCTACTACCATAAATGTTTTATTTCCAAATCTAAAATGATTCAGATTTGAATTTAATTGGAAAGGTAATTGACAAGAATTCTATTGGAAATAAATAAAAAAATTATATTTTGAAACCAATAATTAATAATTAAATATTTATTTCATAATAAATAAATATATAAACACGTGAATTATTCTTGGACATTTTTTAAATTTTTATTAAAGAAAAACCCCGACAGTCTGTAAAAATATGCCCTTTATATTTACGTCGATTTCCGGCAAATATAAAATTTTGCCCTTTTTATTTCCCAATTTTTATCGTCTTCTTTTATTTTTATAAAATTTAATTAAACATTTAAATAAATAAAAATTATTTTACAAAAAAATATGAAAAAATTTTATTTATTTTTCTTTTTGTCATTCATTATTTTCTTTGTAAATTCTGGAATAATTGGTAAAAAAAGGAAGAGAGATCATGTAGGTTTTTTAAAATATAAAATAAGTTTTGATAAAAAAGGGAAGGTCCAATTGTTTTGTATTTAAGGTGATTAAGTAGTGATAATATTTATATGAGAGTATCTGATGCGGATTTATTTTTTAAAGTATCAATTAATAAAATAGTATTGAATTTGAGATGATTGTCTTAAAAATTTGTTAAGTCATTATTTTAATAAATTTATTAATTATAAACTTTAAAATAAATTTTACTTTATCCATTCATCACAAAGAATGACGGAGTTGAAAAGAGTGCAAGCGGAATCCATTCTCCTCGAACTTTGCCTGTTCATGATCACGAATACGATGACGCATTAGAAACAATACAAGCTCCTCCAACGTCGCCCGTCGATGGAAATAACTCCCACGGAAATAACTCTAAAAGTCATGCTCTATTAATGTCTCAAGTAGCCTATCAATTATCTCATATGGTCCCATCAACATCTTATGACGAAGCGGAAATATCGCCACAGCATAATTCAACTGCGTCTCAATCAGATAATGAATCGTCAAATTCTGCAAATCATGGCTCAAGTCCAGAAGAGACTTTCAATGATGAGGTAATTTAATTGTAGGGTATGATGCATAATTATAACTCAGCATTAATTTTTTAAGTTTAAAAAAATTATTTTCTTACCAAAATTAAAACAAAATTTAGAATGCTCTGCCTGCTGCTTTAGAACGTCTTCATATTGAAAGTAAGGAAAAAAGAAATAAAGAGAAGCGAAAATATATGGATGAAGATTATTTAAAGGAGCAATCTTCAAGGAAACTTTGCAAAAGCTCTTCGAAATTGTTTAATTCCACGGACTGCATTAGCTCCTCCTCAAGTAATTACCTAGAAAAATTTTTTTAATTTTATTTTTATATTCCAAGATAGATAAATTTTATATTTTTGACTAATTAATCCTTAATAAAGTTAAAAATTAAATTTTTTTTCATAAAATTATTTGAGAATATTTTTAAAAATTTAGATGAAAACTAAAGCAATTGAATAAGAATTCAACGAAAGGTTAACAAGGAGTTTATGAGAAAAAAAGCAAATAATTTTTGATAAAAGATAATACGTAGATAATTTTTAACAAACTAAAATAAAATAATTTAGTATGAAAACCTTTAAAAATTTCTTTTGTGAAATTTTCTTTTTGAATAAACATTAAAAATTAAAAAGAGATTTTCTTCTAGTAAATTGCTTTCAAATTTTGGAATTTTTCATTTTAATTTAACCAAAATAAATTAATTATTAGAATAATATACAAATTTTTGGAATTTTAAATTATTTTTTATTCATTCTTGATGTGATGATGCGCGAGATTAGTAGAATAAGAATATGTTTTATGTCATTTAATTTTTGTAACTAAAAATGAGTATAAACTAACTAATAATAAATATTAATTCTTCGTAAATTTACTACAAATAAATAATGTAATTAATTTATTTTAATTTTAACTCGATAAATTTAATTTGTTTTAAGGACAATTTATGTATTTGTTATATTTTAAAATTTTGAAATTTTTGCCATTATTTCTTATTGTGTTAAAAGTTTTTTTACAGCTACGGAAGCTGTAAAAACAGCTTTTTATAGCTCCGGAACTCTATACCAAATGACGACCTTAGTTTTACTTTCTTCTCAAAACACGAAGAACAAAAATAAAAAAATAATAAAGGCAACACTGCCATTTTAAATGCAAAAAGCCTCTCAAATAATACCTTTGTATATTATATATTTTTATTAATATTTAATTTAAGATTTAAAATAGCAAAAATAATTAAAAAGTATAAAATAGTTCAATTCAAGTATTTATAAAATTAAATTATAAGGATCTCGTTCAATTTCTTTTATTTATCCAATTAAATTATAAATATAAAATTCCGTTTTCTCTCAAATAAATTTTTTCTAAATATGCAAACAATAATTAATGAAAGAGATGTTTTATTAAATATAATTATTAAAAATGACCAAACTACAATTCTAAACTACAGAAAAAAAATTTTTTAAATCCATTCTGAACTGATATTTAATAAAATAAAAAGTAATATATTTTCTTCATTTCTCGTAAAATTCTCTCAAATTCTAATAGAATTTTGTAGTATTTTTTTGAAGAATTATAGAGATAGATTATTTAAGTTAGTAAATAGATTTGTTTAGCTTATGCTTGCTAAGTTTTTTTTTTAAATTAATTAATTAATTTACTAATTTTCTTGTTTTTCTACAAGTTTTATTAAATTTTAATTTATTATTTAAAATATGAATTATAATAAATTAATTGTAAGAATTCTTTCTTGTGAAATTTGTGGGAAACCAAGTGAAAGTAAAAATTATAATGTTGTTAGTTGTCCAGGTAACTATATACTATTTAGCTTTTTGTTTTTATTTTCTATTTAAAATTATATACTAGAATAAGATTGCGTTTAACGAACCTGATGCAGATAGCATTTGAATAATAGAAATTACAGTTACCGGATACCCATCTAAATATTTGTTCATTTTTTAGTTCCATCATGTAAGGCGTTGACTTTTTATATTAGATATTTCAGAGATTTTCCGTTCGTCAATTACCAAAATATCAAAAATTTTTAATTTACACAATTATTAGTAAATGCGGATCCCATTTCGCAGTCCCATAATTTAACTAACCTCTAGATATAAATAGGTTTGGCATTTTCAACTATCGGCGAGCAAGTAAGGGTCATTACCACCTTGAAAATGTTTAACGTTTGAGAAACAGATAAGGAAATTCTAAACATTTTTTTATAAGTTTTAAGTTTAATTCATATTTTTCTAAGGCTGTAAGCAATTTTTTCGCCGTACAGTTTTACATCAAAAGGTTGTCAAATGTAAACGAAATAGAATGTGTGATATAATGAATGGTTGGTGTTCTTATATTAAGTAAAATAATTAACTGAATTTGTACATATTTGGTACTAAATATAGTATATTTATCTCCTCTCATTTTGCGTTTCATCTGTATATTTTTCCTTAATTTCATACTTTCTAGGGTAGACAAATTTGATTTACCGTATTAATCCCCAGTTCTGGGAACCCTTTTCCTTTTTTAGCTCCCCAGGAAAAATTATTCTTTACTATGACGCTTGCGAGCTCACAATTATATTTTAATTACATTTTACTTGAAATTGATATTTATTAATTACATTAGGTGAAAAATGTAGAGGTTGCCGTTTTGACAAATGTTTAATTGAAGGAATGGATCCTTTGCTGATTAAAATTGATGATATAAATTGCCGAAATGAATTTATTGAAATGTTGGAAAAACGTCGAAATAAATTACAACAAACAAAATCTAACGATTTATATAATCAAGATGATCAAAAAACTATTTGTGTTAAAAATAATAAAAATTTTAATGAATATAAACAGTCAACAAGTAATCAAGATATTTGTATAAGTAATGAATTGTGTTTTAATAACACGACAATTGGTATAATTTTCTTAAATAAAAAAGTTGTTTTAAGAGAGCGCCAAGAGGGAAAGGAAAAGCTTCCAGGGATTGAACTGAAAATTTCCGAATACCCTTTTTCGGATCCGTATACCCGATACCGTCAACCTCAGTTTTAGAGTATATTTCTTAGTGCAAACGGTAGAAAAATATATCTAAAAAAATTTATTATTAAAAATTAAAAAAATTAAAGTTCAGCAAAATAATTTCATATCTTCCAATGTAAATATTGAAAACAGTCAGGTAAGCAATTAAAAATAAAAATTTTTTAAAGATATTTTGTAATTAAAGATGGAATTTTTACTTCAAATTTGTGAGGCACAAAACCGAATTATAAATGCATTTATGGATTATGATGAACAAGAATTTTTATTTAACGATTTTAATTCTTTACAAGATGTTTTAATTTTTGGACCAAATATTATTTCAAAAGTATCAGAATTTACGGTAAACTTATAATTAAAGATGGATTAATGTTTATTAATTTTTTAAAATTAATAATTTTAATACATAAATTTTAATAAAATTTATTAAAAATTTTAATTAACATTAATAAAATAAGGAGGTTTGTCCCATTTTACAATTCCTTTTTGTGTTGTTGGTGTGTGATTTTCTCCCATTCCCGAAAGATTGATTGTCGAAGTGGCTCCAAACTTTTGGGTTATTAAGAGCAGCTCCTTGACTCCAAAATAGACAAACAAAGTAAAAATGGAATTCAAATCCGGTCATTTCGGTGGCCATATTTGAGGCGTGTTAGAACAGGGTAAATTGGCTACGAGTGATTATAATGAAGTAAATAATTGATGAAAAAATCGTGATTTTATTCCAAATAAAATATTAATTAATTAATTATAGGAAATTCCACAGCTGATGAGTCCAACTGAATTTTACCAACTAAGTGCAAATTTTGGTCAATTTAATTATCGAGTTGCTAAAAAGTCTCTTGTTGATAGACTTCTTTGTATTGGAATTTTTAAGTCTTTACCTGTTTTTCCAAAACTTGATATCAATGATCAAGTTTGTTATTATTATTATTTAAGTGTCGAATTATTTAAAGGGCCTTTAGGGGTTCGAAAAAATGAATTTATTAGTTGACGGCAATATCAAATTAAATATTTCGATTATCTTTTTACACATTTAAAAACAATTATCTTTATTTTAAGAAAATTTTAGAAAAATTCCTGCTATAAATTTTCACTAAGTCCCGACTTAGTGAAAATTTTTATAATAATTTTTTTTACCAATTTCTCTAATTTTATTATAAATTAATTAATTTGATAATCAAGGTAATTATTCTAAAATATGTGAAACTTGCAGTATCACTGCTTGGCGTTTACTTTGCTTCATATAAATTGGGTTCTCGTACTATGATGCGAAAAGATGGTTTTTATCCAATGGCTTCTTTCACTGATCAATTTAGTTTAAAAAATGATAAAACGTAAATTTAAATAAATTTAAATAATAAAATTTGCTAGAGTCCGGTTCTATTCAATCATTTTCAATTTAATCAAATCGTTAATTGTCCGAACTCTTGGCTTGTTCTAATACTTAATAAATAGACCTGGTTAATAACAAGTGGCAAAATATCTATAACGCTAATCTGATGCTTAATATGTATGTAATAATGTTGTCAATTAATGTTATCGGTTCGGTACCGATCAAATAAACCGAGTATTCTTAGAATGGTTCGTCATATAACGGAGGCTTATTGGCTTCTTAACCTCTATATTCCAAGAATTTTTAAAGATGTTACCTATTTAAAAGAGAATCATCATTCCTAATCAAATCGAAATTTCAAGGGACAATCTTCTCCAAAAATTTCGAAAAAACGTATATGAAAAAATATCTCCAAAACCTTTTAAAGAACTTATGCTATTTTAATTTTAAGACTTTTCTCTCTGGCAAATAAAGCATTCAGTAAACCAATAGAACCTTTTTTTCGTGTTGGCATTTCTAAAGAAGAATTTAGTTTAATTTTGGCTATTATTTTTTTGAATCCAGGTATTTTAATTAAAATATTAATTAAAAAAATTTTTTAAAAAGATATCCCAAATTTGTCAGAATCGGCGAGAAATATTCTTTCAAAGGAATTTTCTTATTATTCAAAAATGTTACTTAATTATTTACACAATAAATTGGGTATAGATGCTGGAACTAAAAAATATGCTGAATGTTTTCATTTAATTTCAACTTCATTTATTGGAGTAGAAAACTTAATTTCATTAATAACGTATCATGAAGCTTTCTATAAACACCCACCACAACGCCTTGAAATGCCAAATTCTCTTAAAGCTATTTTTTAATTTAACAAAAATCATCAGAATTACTTTGTTCATATTTTTAATTTATATTTTTTAAATTCAGGGGTTGTATGCTTTTATTAATTTTATTTATTATTTTTAATATACTGAATTTTTCTAAATTTTCTAATAATGTAAAATTATATTCTACATATTTATTTTTACCTTTTTTTTAATAATAATTATTTCTTTTAAATTTATTCTTTTTAAAATAAAATTGTTTTCTTTTCAAATAATTAATAAATCTATTCGGTTTCTATTCGAAAATAAAGAAAAAATTCGGCTCTGGTCTAGTTTATACGTCCAGTGAACTTTTATGAGTCTAATAAAAAATTATGAGTATATAATGGATTACGGGATAACAGGATTTTCAAATATCGATATGAAAATTATTTACTTGAATAGACGTGACAGTTTTATCAATAAAATTTATAAAATTTTATTTTTCAGACTAAAAAGTTATTAAACAAAAGATGCTTCCTATTTTGTTTGGAATAAATAAAAACTCAAATATAACAAGCCCTGGGTCTAATATTAGTCTGGATCTTTAAATTTTAATAGATAATAGAATTTTATGGTGATTTTGAGGAATAAAAAAATTATTTTTTAAGTGTGTATATTTATTAACACAGCTTTTTTTGAATTAATAATTTTAAAAAATTTCAATGAAAAAAGATTTTTAAACCTTTCTGTACTCATCTTTTTAATTAAATTCATTTTTCGAAATAATCTTTTAAATATTAAAATAAAATTTAATGGAATAAGTGTTTAAATATATTTATTTAGCTTAAATTAGTCAGGTTTGAGTTTTTAAATTAAATATTTTAATTATTGAATTTATTAATTTTTGAATAAAATTATTTATTGAATTTGTCTAATATATTTAATTATTATGTAAAAAATATGAATAAAAATAATTTAAATGCAAAACCTCTTAGTTGTGAAATATGTGGAAAACAAAGTGAAGGCAGAAATTATAATGTTATTAGCTGTCCAAGTAATTTTTTTTCTGAAATTATTTTGGATGTTTTTGTTTTTAATTAAAATAATTAAATGAAATTTTAAATTTAATTTTTCTAAGGCTGTAAGCAATTTTTTCGTCGTACAGTTTTATATCAGAAGGTTGTCAAATGTAAACGAAATAAAATGTGTGATATAATAAATGGTTGGTGTCATTAATTAATTAAACAAACTGAAATTGTATTAATTATATTAGGTGATAAATGTAGAGGTTGCCGTTTTGATAAATGTTTAATTGAAGGAATGGATCCTTTAATGATTAAAAGTGATGATATAAATTGCCGAAATGAATTTATTGAAATGTTGGAAAAACGTCGAAATAAATTACAACAAACAAATTCTAACGATTTCTATTATCAAGAAGATCAAAAAACTATTTGTGTTAAAAATAATAAAAATTTCAATGAATATAAACAGTCAACAAGTAATCAAGATATTTGTACTATAAGCAATAAATTATACTTTAGCAACACAACAATTGGTATAATATTATTAAATAAAAAGGTTTATACAAAATCTGTCATCACACATTAGGTGACGTGGTTCAAATCTATACTATAGCCGGCATTAATTTTCATATATTCGCGATTCCGAAAAAAGTTTAATTTATAATCGAGGTTTATCTTAAATTGAGTATCTCACAGCTCTCACTCTGTGTCAAAACAAAATATTTAAAATATTGTTTTGGAATATAATTTATTATTAAAGGTCACCAAAATAATTTTATATCTTCCAATATAAATGCTGAAATCAGTCAAGTAAACAATTAAAGACAAAAAATATTTGAAAATATTTTTTACTTATAGAGGGAATTTTTACTTCAAATTTTTGAAGCACAAAACCGAATTAGAAATTCATTTATGGATTATGATGAGCATCAATTCTTATCTATGAAATTTAATTCATTACAAGATGTTTTAAATTTTGGGCCAAATATTATTTCAAAATCATCAGAATTTTCGGTAAAACAGGGGTGAGCTCAGGCTCAGTGAATTAAATAGATCTATTCATTTTACTCAAAATAAGATATTTATTAATTATAGGAAATGCCAAGGCCTATTAGTTCAACTGAATTTTACGAAGAAAGTGCACAATTTTGTCAATTTACTCATCGTGTTGCTAAATTTGTTTTTGTTCAGAAACTTATTTGTATTGGAATTTTTAAGTCTTTACCTGTTTTTCCAAAACTTGATGTTAAAGATCAAGTATGTTATTATTATTATTATTTAGGTCGATTTCTTTCAGAGTACAACCACCAGGAACTTTGACTCCCGGTATCAATTTCATGACTTAGGTCAGAATATTTTATACATAAAAGATTAATTTTCTCAAAAAATTTCTTCATATTAATAGTTATTTTATTTTAGACTTAGTTTCTTAGGCATTTTTCTATAGTATTTTGACAAGTTATTTTTTTACCACTATAATTGTACTTTTTTATGTACTTTGTGGTTCACTCAATAAATTAAATTAATTAAATAATTAAGTTAATTATTTTCGAATATGTGGCACATCCAGTATCACTGCTTTGCAGTTGTTTTGTTTCATATGAATTGGGTTCTCGTACTATGATAGGAAAAGATGGTTTTTATCCCATGGCTGCTTTCGCTTATCAATTTAGTTTTAAAAATGATAAAACGTAAATAAAAATATATTTAAATAATAATATTTAATGTATTTCTTGATTTCGATTCATCTTTTTAATTTAATTTGGAATGGAATTGGAAAAACATTGAACAATTTATTATATGTTATTTTAATTTTAAGGCTCTTCAATTTGTCAAATAAAGCATACAGTAAACCGATAGAGCCTTTTTTTGAAGTTGGGATTTCTAAAGAAGAATTTAGTTTAATTTTGGCAATTGTTTTTTTAAATCCAGGTATTTTAATTTGAATATTAATTAAAAATAATTAAAAAAAATTTTTTTAAAAAGATATCCCAAAGTTGTCAGAATCAGGGAGAAATATTCTTTCAAAGGAATTTTCTTATTATTCAAAAATGTTACTTGATTATTTACACAATAAATTGGGTATAGATGCTGGAACTAAAAAATATGCTGAATGTATTCATTTAATTACAGCCTCATTTATTGCAGCAAAAAACTTTAATTTATTAATAACATATCAAGAAGCTTTCTATAAACGTAAACCAGTGAACATTGTAATGCCAAATTGTCTTAAATATAGCTAGTTTACTTAAAGTTTTACTGAATGATTAAATACCGAACTTTTTTATTCAGCAATTGTGTCATTTAATTTTATATGTATTTATATAAAAAAATCATGTACTATTCGTTTTTATCCTCCCATTCTTCTTTTTTTCTCCTTTTTCCGAATTTAGCGAATATAACTTTTTCATGCTTAATCAAATGAAACTTATATCATTTGAAAGCGCTCGATAAGCTTATCTTTCCTAACCGGATGGATCAAGTTTGATCGCCCGTTTAAAGGTTAAAAGCATTAAGTGTGTAAAACAACTATTTATTACATTTATCGTCTTGTAACTTTTCAAACTTGATTCATCCAGTTGTAAAAAATAATGCTTATCGAGGGTTTAGAACGATATACGTTCGGAATTGATCAAGCATAAAAAAGATATAAACGGATAGTATCCAGAATCATTATAATCTAAAATTATTTTTCTTATAATATTATAATTTTTTGCTATTTTTTGGTAAAATATTTTTTTAATATAATTTTTTGTTAGATAATTTTTTGGTTACTTAATTATATACAAAATAAATTAGAGTAAGAGCAAGGTAAAAGTTTAATCCCGGGCAGGCTTCGATACTGCGACCTCCTGGCAGTTATTGCTTGGCGCTTTCGCTCACCACGTACAGGTGCTATGTATACCAACTGAATTACCTAGGCGCTTTCACCTTATCTTTTAATAGATCTTAAACCCCCGCCTAGTGAGCGTTTTAAATGCTAGCAAGCTGAATCTTCTTTCTTTTCCTTTCATGAGTTATTCCTTACATTAGGTTTAGCCTTCCAAAATTTTCAATGTGTTTTTCTACATAGTGAAGAATCTATAAACCAAAAAAAGAACGAACTTAAAGAAGAAAACCATTATGATTTATAATATATTAAATTATAATTTAACTATCATTTTCATTCTATTTTTTTACATTTACAAAATTTATTTAAGATAATTAAAATAAATAATTTAAATATATCTTGTAATTTGGGGATTTTGGCAATATGTGACTTAAATCTGCCGTAATCTCCGGTTATCTTAGTTTATGCAAGGACTACGACAGGACATTTAGTTTATATTTGTAAAACCAATGGATTAACCAATGGAATTTACAAACAGATTGCCAGACATGTAAATTTCTATATACCAATTAGAGCTGCCTCAACTAATCACCTCGCTAGTTATTTAATTAAGCATAAATTTAAAATTATAATAACTGTACAATTTTGTACCTTTTTGTACCAATATTTAATAAAAATGAATATAAATTACTTCATTTTCCGTAAAATTCTCTCAAATTTTAATAGATTTTGTGGTGGGTGTGGAAAATTGCTTTTTAAGTGTCTATATTTGTTTAGCTTTTTTCTTTTTTTAATATAAATTATTTTCATTCTCGAATTAATTAATTTTTCTCTTTTTTTATAAAAGTAATATTAAATTTGTTTAAATTTATTTAAAATATGAATATTAATAATTTACATAAAAAGCATCTTTATTGTGCAATTTGTGGAAAACAAACTGAAGGCAAAAATTATAATGCTATTAGTTGCCCAAGTAATTTTTCATTTACATTGTTACCACTAATTGAATGCCCGGGCAATCTATTTTTTAATCACCTTCCAAAGGGACATTCTATTAGAGAGGGCATTCAAATGGAGAGGGGCATTGTATTTCTCCATTGTTAATTTTAAATTTTTTCACTACGAGAGATATAATCTATTAAAAATAATTTTTAAGTTAATTCACACGATGTCTGTTTTAATCTCTCCAAATCCTCTAATATCCCCGGTTAAGATCTCAAAAAGTATGAAAAGCAATTTTGAAATTTTGGGTTATTAATAGGGGTCGAAAGAATAAAAGGATTATATTTAGGGATCAAAAAAATTTTAGGGTTTAATAGAGGGGATATTTAAGAATTTACCACCACCTCTCGACTTAAGGAAAAATATAAGGATAGCATTTGGATCTAATGATACCCATCTATACATATTTTTGTTATTTCTCAGTTCCAAAAATTACGTGCTTTAAATGTGGAGTTATAAGTAGGGCTAACATTTAGTTAATAGATGTGGCTGTTGCAAGGCTGTAGATTGAGTTTCTGTTTTAACTGCTTTTTAACAGAAAAAAAATAATTTAATTATTTTTTTCCAAGGCTGCAAGCAATTTTTTCGCCGTGCAGTTTTATGTCAAAAGGTTGTCAATTGTAAGAAAAATAAAAAGTGTGATATAATAAATGGTTAGTGTTTTAACATTTATTGTAAAAATATTTATAATAAATTTAAATTCATCCTCAAATTAATATTTTATTAATTACATTAGGTGATAAATGTAGAGGTTGCCGATTTGACAAATGTTTAATTGAAGGAATGGATCCTTTAATGATTAAAATTGATGATATGAAATGCCGAAATGAATTTATTGAAATGTTAGAAAAACTTCGAAATAAATTACAACAAACAAAATCTAACGATTTATATCATCAAGAAGATCAAAAAACTATTTGTGTTAAAAATAATAAAAATTTTAATGAATATAAACAGTCAACAAGTAATCAAGATATTTGTACTATAAGCAATAAATTATACTTTAATGACATAACAATTGGTATAATATTAGTATTTAATAAAATGGTTGTTTCTGGAGAGGCAGCACAACTTGGGTTAAAGTTCTTTATGTGATACATAAATGAACGCTTCATATAAATGTATGCCAGCAGCGCCTAGGACCCTTAGTCTTGAATCAAGATTTTTTGGACTTATTCCTCGTCTTGCACTGTAAAGGAAATAATCTTCACAAAAGTATCTAAAGTAATGGACCAAAAAACTTCGACCAATTCAAATCAGGCTGAAGTTCCTACTGAATCATCTAGATTTTTTCCTATTTCAATGCTGCAGGCGTAAATTTTTTAATTTAATCTGTGCTCAAGACTGACATTATTTCTAGCATAATAATAAATTACCGAAAATTCCTATCTGCTAGACCCAGGTTATATAAAATTGACATTTTTGTTTTTATGTAATTCGAATTGCGGCTACGAAAAGATATAAAAAACATTTTCTATTAAAGTTTAAAAAATTAAAGGTCAGCAAAATTATTTCATGTCTTCCAATCTAAATGCAGGAAACAGTCAAGTAGCCTATTATAAATAATTTTTTTAATATTTTTTAATTAAAGATGGAATTTTTAATTCGAATTTGTGAAGCACAAAACCGAGTTAGAAATGCATTTATGGATTATGATGAGCATCAATTTTTATCTATGAAATTTAATTCATTACAAGATATTTTAATTTTTGGGGAAAATATTATTTCAAAAGCATCAGAATTTTCGGTAAAAAAAGAAATTTTAAGATATGTTAATGTTAATAATTTGAGATATAAAAAATTTTTTGGAAGAGTAAAACCAATTTAGTTGAGATTAAAAATAGATGAGATTAAATTTATAAATTAAAGAAGTTTGCTGAATCCATCCCCAGTGTTGAGCCCAGGATAATAGAATATGAGGGAATACTAATTACTTAATGCTGATAGCCCGGCCGGACAATGTTCACCGCTCACTTTTTAAGAGCGATTAAGCGGGCGACGACTAGTTCCTCCGATCGGGCAGTAATACAAGCATAATATACACTTAATGACTGAATAAAAGACTGATCTTTGCCTTCACTTATTCCTATAACAGGATTATATTGTTATGGATATGCGGGGTCGATGGGAAAGTTAGTTTAATATTTCTCAATCCTATTTCGGTTTTACATTAACATAAATATTTACTAATTAATTATAGGAAATTCCAAAGCCTATTAGTTCATCAGAATTTTACAAACAAAGTGCACAACTTTGTCAATATAGATATCATGCTACTAAATTTTTTATTGTTCAGAAACTTATTTGTATTGGAATTTTTAAGTCATTACCTGTTTTTTCTAAACTTGATGTTAAAGATCAAGTATGTTATTAGTATTATTACAATATCAGGAAGTCTTTCAGTGTCACCCACTAGGGACTCTAGACTAAAGAAATTTCAAAAAAAGAAATTTTACGAATTTTCGGCTCTCAGTTCCGACTTTAAAATTCGTACTCGCATCTTTGTAAATTTGTCTACGCAATTCGGAAGCAGAATCCAGATTGAACGCTCCATATGTGATTTACGGGAATATACCCTAAACAAATTTGTCCTTAGAAGTTAATCCTTCCTAATCTCTCAGAGTATCAATTTTTAATTTTATTAACAACTTACATATGTAAATTACCAAATTAATAATTTAGGTAATTATTTTACAATATGTGGCACTTGCAGTATCAATGCTTGGCAATTGTTTTTCTACATATGAATTGGGTTCTTTTACTTTAATGAGAGGTGATGGTTTTTATCCAATGGCTGCATTCTCTGATCAATTTAGTTTAAAAAATGATAAAACGTAAATAAATAAAAAATTTACCCCCCCCCCCCCCCCCTCCGGCTTCTAAGATTTAATAAATAGGTCTGAGTTAGGCATAAAAGATAGCAAGTGTCATTATATTTTTAAGTTTAATTCACTAAATTAAAGTAAATAATAGTCGGTATTAAGCACCACTCATATCAATTGATCAACGGGAAAACATTCCAATAAGCTTATTCACAAAAATTTAGCACTGAGAAAAACTACGCCTTCCATGAAAACAGGCCCTATTCAGATATCCTGAACTTGTTTTGATCAATTTACGTTTTAAGGCTCTTCACTCTGGCAAATAAAGCATTCAGTAAACCGATGGAACCTTTTTTTCGTGTTGGCATTTCTAAAGAAGAATTTAGTTTAATTTTGGCTATTGTTTTTTTAAATCCAGGTATTCTAATTAGAATATTAATTAAGAATAATTAAAAAAATTTTTTTCAAAAAGATATCCCAAATTTGTCGGAATCAGCGAGAAATATTCTTTCAAAGGAATTTTCTTATTATTCAAAAATGTTACTTAATTATTTACACAATAAATTGGGTATAGATGCTGGAACTAAAAAATATGCTGAATGTTTTCATTTAATTTCAACTTCATTTATTGGAGTAGAAAACTTTAATTCATTTATGATATATAAAGAAGCCTTCTATAAGAGTTCATCTTTAAACATTGAAAAGCCGAATTCTATTAAAGCCTTATCTTCAATTTTATTAAAATTTCCTTAGTAAAAATTCCTCCCCTTAAATATTCAGCTGACAAATGAGAGTAAAAAAATATTCTGAATGTTTTCATACATTAAAATCACCATCTACTTTTACAAAAAAATTTATAAAATAATAAAAATTTTTTATAATAAAATAAAACTATTTTCAAATATATTTTACATAATCGCATATTTATACATAAGAACGGGGGGGGGGGGTATATGAACGTTGTTTTGTCCCTACATGAAATAACCTTCCTTTAAGAATTTATTTGACGTGACATTTATTCTACAAACAAACAATCATTTTATGTAAACAATAACATTTATAAAATCAAATTTTATAAATTTATTTCTTTAAAATATTCCTCTATTGTAAATAAAAATAAACTTTATTTTCTAAATTAAAATTTAATAAAATGAAATTTCTAAAATATTTTTATTTTTTAATTCTAACCTTATTTTTAACTTTATTCTACTATTTGTATAATAAATATCAAAGTGAAAATTTTATGTTTAAATTAACAATAACGGTTGTTAAAAATAAAATTTATAAAATTTTAACTTTAGAATGAAAAAATTCGTAAACAGATAATGCCGCCTATTTTGGTTTGGAATAGTTTTAATGATGCATCAGCCCCAGGAATTGGATATCCTGAATATCCTGTTGAATTTCCAAATATTACATGTCCATACAAATGCAGTTACATTCGCGATAAGAAATTGAAATATTTTTAAATTTATATAATATTAAATAAATTTATAGGAATCAAAAATTTTAGACAAATAGTTGTTAGAGCCCCATAACGGAGCCCTAATATTTAAAAAAACTTTGAGTAAACGAAACAAAAAATCTCGTCCATCTACAGTCATTTTATATTTTCGAATATTTGTGGCCAGTATCTTTGCGAATTTTCTTCTAAGGAAGAAATTTTTCGATATTCATAATCAGCTTGAAAAATCGAACCCTTTCCAGTAATACAAATATAGAAACTGGGATATGGATCATTATTTTCAAGGGCACTTATCTATAACATCACTCTCTTGGCTTCTTCGGGATAATATAAAAACTATTTTTTTATTTGAAATTCTAGCGAGTCAAAAGCTTCAACTATAATTTTCTTTCTTCATGAAGTTTGTAAAATAAATTCATGGCCTAAAAATAGAAGAAAAGATCAAAATTATATGATGTATACAGTTGAATGTCCTGTTGAAACATTAAAATATTATGACAGAAAATTCCTTACAAATACATTCTTTAATAGTTCAGCAACTTATCGTTTAGATAGCGATGTATATATGCCCCATGATGCTTTAACTAAAATTACTCCAAAAACTCCAAAAGAATATATATGGGACCAAAAAGAAGTAAAAACCACATATGTTAGACTTAAAATATTTAAAATTAAAGGTTCTGGCAAAAGTTAAAAATAAAACAAAATTTGTATTTCAAGCAATTTCACATTGTAATTCCGAATCTGGTCGTGATCTTATAACTAAAAGAATGAGCAAGTTAATTAAATTAGATTTAGTTGGGGATTGTTATGGTGTTTATTGTGATTTGGAATGTTATAATCGAGAATTAGGTTAATTAATATAAAAAATGAAAAATGGGAAAATTAGGAAAATTTCATTGAATAAACTTAAATTTAAAAGATAATATCTTAGGGATTGTTTAAGTTGATTGTCTAATTATGAGTTAAGAAGTTCATTAGTGAACTGATGGATTAAACAATTTTATATGAATTTTGAAATAAATAGAAAGAGTGCAAAAGTTTAGCTACCGGGCAGGATTCTAACCTGCGACCTCCTGACAGTTATTGCTAGGCGCTTTCACTCACCGCATAAGGAGCTCTACCAACTGAGCCTGCTTTCACCTTCTCTTTTAATAGATCTTAAACCCCCGCCTTGTGAGCGTTTTAAATGCTCTAGGTGAATCATCCTTATAAAATTTTCGAAATCGCAATTAATTTGACTAGTTACTGAGCAGAAAATATCCAGATAATAAGGATTTTTTCCAAAAATCCAAATAAAAAGGCCAAAATTTAATATCAGTTAATTTCAGGAGCAAATTAATTATTCCTGATTCTTAATTAACAAATTTATTTAAAATTCTATAAAATTATTTATAGAAAACCACTTATTTTATTTGGCATTTGAGAATAATATCTGCCAAAATTATGTAACAGAAAAATTTTGGAATTCAATAAGATCACTTACCGTGCCAATAGTTCTGAGTAGAACTGTATTTAAAGGAATGGATGTTCCTTCTAATGCATTTATTGCTTTGGATGATTTTGAATCAGTAAATGAATTGGTTGAATACTTGAGGGTTTTACAAAATAATACGGAAAGATATTTAAAGTAAAGTTTAGAATAATTAACAAAATAATTATTCAATTCTTGAACTTTTAAAAATACTATTTTTAAATATCCGTTGCAAATATTCAATAAGACAAAGTATCTATTTTCGAGTATAATATCCCTGAAAAACTCAAAAAAAGGATTTGAAATCATTTCATTGTAGCAGCATTTACACGCTTTAGGGGCTACCGTATATCCTTTAATAACTACCCTGGGTCATTATTGGTGGGAGTAACTAAGAGGAGAGATTAATTAATCGAGGGAGGGTAAGGTTTGAACGTGATTTAGGGCATCTGTTCGCAATAATTATTGTTTCGATCTATCGTTGGATTTGGTAAATAATGGAAGTGGGGTAATTATTTGAAGGAGGGCAATTAATACAGGTTATAGTTAAATAATCTAAAAAGATGCCATAACCAAATTAGGCCAGGAAAAATATGAATATACGGCAGGCCGAAACTTGCGGACCGACTTTTGCGGACCGAAACTTGCGGATCCGACGAATTTCTCAAAACATAGCTCATTCGAAAGAGCTCGACGAGCTGAGTCGAATGACATCAAAATCATCGTGATTATACAAGATTGGACAAAGTTACGATAGAAAAACAAAAACATAAACCCTTGGTCCGCAAAAGTCGGTCCGCAAGTTTCGCACTACCGAATATACATATAAATCAGATCCCTAGATCAGATCCCTATATGTATATGACTGACACTTTCATAGTATTATAAATAAAAATCTCAAATCTTAAATTAGGCATCTTGAATGGACAAAAACATACACAAAAAGAAAATTTGGTTTGGATTATTCACCAATATGCAAAATATGCGAATTTGTTACAAAACAATTTGAAGATAAAAGGCAAAATATAATAAATTTAGATAAATTTTGGAATGAAAATGATTGTAGATATAGTAATTATTCTCGAAGTTTTGTTAAAAATTGAGCGAGTTAATTAAAATTTTAATTAGTTAATTAGTCAATAAAAATGATTTATTCAAAATAATAGGTTGAATTTATTTTTGAAAGATTTATAAATTGAAAATAGTAAAGTCACTTTTAAAATAAAATTACTAATAAATTTTAATTAATTAATTAAGGTCAGGATTTCGATCTTGAATTTTTAAAATTTTGATCAAAAAAATCCGCATTTTAGATCTAAAATGCGCAAAAAATTATCAAACACAAAAATTGAATTAAAATAACTTTATGTTTCATAATTTTTAACTTCAGCAATTAAATTGAGCAATTTTTTATTACTAATGATCATCGCTTAACAAAAAAGTATACATATAGAAAAAGTACAACAATGATAATAATAATCTTCAATAGACCACAAAAATCCGCAAAACCGCATTTTTAAAAATAATCTTCATCGCCCTATCAAAAAAACCACAAAATGAGGAAAAATCCGCAGATATCGAAACCCTGACTATGGTTCATATTTAAATTAATTTATCCTTGAAATTTAAAAGTAAATTTAAACTTTTCCCGTGAAAAATATTAAAAATAAATTTTAAAATAAAATTACGGAAACGATTTTTAAATAATTAATTGGGAAAAATATTTTTGCCAGTCAAAGGGCATTTATTTCATAATTATGAGTTAATATTCTTAAATTTCTTAACGTTGTTTGTTTATTTAATTCACTTAGTCAAGTCTATCAAACTTGCACTTTTATTATTTCTCTGACTTTAAAAGGAGACCGAAAAATTTTAATTATTCAAAAAATATTATTTAAAAATTCCTAAACATTTAATTAAAAAATTGTAATAGAAAGACAACTAAAAATGAGCCCTTCATCATTCACCTTAATGGCGGTAATTCTTGAGGCGATTGTTTTTCTTTACAACCGTCAAGTAGCGGCAATGCTTTCCATGCATCCGAGTAATTATTTTTTAATAAAATTTTTAGAGACAAATACAGTGCCGGAAAAAAGTATTGCACCAAAGAGTGATTTTTTATTTAAAACCCCATAATTATTGAAAAAACTTTTTTCTTATCAAATCTTTTATTCCTAAAATATAAAATTGAATGCCCTCTTTCAATAGGCATTAAAAATATTTTGTTTAATAAATTTTTACTTTTCAAAAACTTCATTTCCGTATGCATACCCAAAAAGAGGCGGAAAAAAGTATTGCACCAAGATGTTTAACTTGTTGTTTGTTCGGCCATAAAAACTGTATAACTAACTATCATAATAGACTGAGAATTTTCTCATAGAATTGAGAAAGTCAAAGAATTTAATCAAAAATTCAGGTTGTTCTGGCCGTTCATCAACCATTGAGAATAAATTGAAAATGAGCGGAGGTGGTAACGGCATCAATAAATTTACACCGGGAAATGTTTCATTCCCGGTAGCATGCCAATACCATTCAAAGAATCTCAAAGCAACAAATAAAAAAGAAAATAAAATCTCAGAAGATTTGCCTATGAATCAAGAAAAGCTTACAAAAAGTGAGGGAAATGATCTCATTCATAAGGTAAAAAAGATAGAAAAGGGCAATAAGGCTGCTGTTCCTTATAATACAAACAAGAACAATAAAATTGGAGAAATTTTTTTTACTGAAGAGCAAAAGAAAATGAGCAGCGAAGAATTTGAGCATTATTTGTATAGTGTTCCATATGACAAAAACAAGAAAAACAAAATTGGAAAAAATGAAAATGATAAAAAAGTTGATAAACCAAACAATGGAGGAGGAGACACAATGCTTTATTCAAAAGCTGGGATAATTGTAAAAAAGATAAAAGAATATGTCCACGTAAGTTTGAATGTCAGCAGGATAATGAATTTATTAAATCCTTTTGTTGTTAATTCCTTTTGTTCGTTTTAAATTTTTGGCGACCTATAGATGTGCTCATTTGAAACCTTTTTCAATAGCTTTATTCCTTAACCAGAAGTGAATTTCCAAGCATCACAAAGTTTAAAATTTAATTATGAATTATACATATTACAGTTATTAATAGATTAACTGTATATCAAGAATATCTTTTTCAGAATATTGGAGAATACAAAATCCAAACTGGACTTGTATATCGTAACAATAGTTTTAATTCTTCCCAAGATGATAGTAAAAATTTATTAAATATTTCGCATATTTTAATGGGTTTAAATGAAAATGAGAGGAATTCTCAAGAAAATTTGAGAAATGCTGCTGATTTGTTTGTGGCACTTCATGAGTGTTACCAACTCTTTTCGGCAATTCCTCTAGTTTTTGAAGTAGAAATGGTTTTGAAAAAACTTGAGGAAGAGGGAAATGGAGACGATCCAATAAAATTGCTCGAATATTTCCGTTTGCCAACAATTAAATATCCATTATTGGATTTACTTAAAATTGAGGTATGTTTATATTAAATATAAAAATAATTTATAATGATAGTCCTCGTTATATTGGCATCCGAAGGATTAAGTTGCCCTTTTAATCACCTTCCCGTTTATTTAATGGTTTTTCCAGCAGATGATTTTTGCTGATTTTTCCAACAGATTTAACAAAGTTTCATATGCTATGAAAAAACCTCTCTTTTTCGACTTACTTCTTAATCAAACCTTAAATTCGAGCCCAAATCCTATGAAAATTTTTATCCTCTCATATCTTTTTTATTGTAGTACTTACTACTTAGTTAACTTTACAATAGTATATTTTCAGAACTCAACAGTGTCTCCAGATGAAGTGATTGAAAACGTCACTAAAACTATTCACAAAGCAGACAATTTTATTGCTAAAAACATCCACGCATTCTTCGTAAATGACAACGAAACATTTTTTAATGAAATAATTTCTCGTCTTGAAACAGCTGATATGGGTAATTTTTGATTTATTTAATCAAAATCAGGAACAAAAAATTCTCCCAAAGCCAAAAATTTCAAAAAGTTGAAACAAATTTTCTGAGAAATTCCTGAGTTAGAAATATTGCCAATCATGTGTGAAGTATGTAAAGGTTGATATAATATGGTTATAATCAAGGGGCCCGCCTATTTAAGAATAAGGAATTGAAGGTGGAAGATGTTTGAATCCCAGAGGTGTTAAGAGCTGAGTAGGGTTTATGGTTTCGGTATATCTAGCACAAGGCTGATCGTAAACAATAATATAAAGCTTATTTGGAATGTTCTTCAACTGGATAAGAGAATGATTCACAGTCCAGGCCGGCTGAAGCGATTTCTCCTATTTGCCTTTGGATTATAAGCTTCTCTATAAGCGGGTTTATCGCTTTTTTCCCACTAATTACACTTTGCAACTTCCTATTGCCTAGCGTATGAATTCCGCTTTTCCCTATTCACGTGAATTTACTTTTTAGCATTTTAAACAAAGTCCACCTAGCTCTCGGATTTAACTTTAGAGTCTAACATCATTAAGCCTGCCCATACTAAAAATATTAGCTTCAATATTAATTATAATTTTCAGTTTTGGCCAGCATCAAAAAAATTCTTAAAATGTTCAATAACTTTAATGATAAAATTCCCGAAAACTTTTCGATGCTAAAACGTTTAAAACCAATTGAAATGTACGATTTATTTGAAAATTCTGAACTGCTTCAAAAACTTCATGCAGCTATTTTGCTTTGAGATGAAATAATGGTTTAAAAAATGGGGGTTAAATTTTTTGCGAACACAAAAATAACAACAAATTAGAAGAATATTAAAATTATTAATGAAACAAGAGTTGCCGCGGCGGATCGGAAATATTAATTAAATCCAATTTAGCTGACGTTGCCTGCTCAATCACCAACTAAATCAATTTATGATTTTGCTCATTCTCTATCTTTACCTTATTTCATATTTGTACATTTTTTCTTTTTTTTTTTAATTATTTTTAGTTTTGTTTTTGAATGTTCGCTTAAATAAATTTTAAAATTAATGTATTGTTATCTACATGCAAAAGGAAAAGAAAGGGCTAGAAATTTAAATATCCATATTCAGATAAAATTTTGGGCAGTAAACGTATAATTTTTTCAGGCCTTCGACTTCGTACATTTTTGGATATGTCACTTCGTGCTTCGGTCTACACCTTTTTAGTGGAATGAGCAAATCGCTCTTGCCAAAAATATTGTTAAATTTTTCAATTTAATTCCAATTTTATTGCTGAAATACCGGTCGGAAATTTTATTGTATCCCATAAAATACATACAAAATGACCTATTGAAAACTATAAACGCAGAGGTTATATTAGAGTATTTACGGTATTCAATTTAATAAATCATTAATATGTATAAAGTTCAATATATGGAACTTACGGTACATTATAAACATGAAATGATGCTAAGAAAAAAAGATAAAGAAATACAAAATAGCAGATAGTATAGAAGAAAATAAATATTATAAGGAAAGATGGAGAAAATAGAAGAGAATTGTTGTTTTTGTATATTAATTTGCATTCAAAAAGAAACACATCTAATAATTTATATTTATATAGAATATAATTTAGTTTAATTATTAATTTTATATCCCTGGTCCCTTTGTATTCGGACGAAGAAATCTTTCGCCTTTTACTAAAGATTTCCGTGCAGGGGGACGCTTATGGGTTTACCCTAATTTTTGGAAGCATTTCCTTTGAAAATGCGTAAAGTCGCTTTGTCTTGTTCTACGATTGTTTTATAAAAAAATTTTCAAAAGAATTTTACTAAACTCATATTTATTATAGTTAGACTATATTTTATTTTGAATTAATGCTGTTTATTTACTTTCTCTAAAATAAATTAATAATTTATTTATCCATAAAAATATTTTATTTATCAGGGTTAACAACAATACACCCTTAAGTATTATTTAAATTAATTTCATTTTCATTTCAATTCAATTTTATTTCAATAAATTCAGTGCCTTCTTGACTAGCGCTTGTGCTTTACTGCTTAAATTATCGTTTGTTCCTTTCACAACCCAACTACTTCCAGAGAAAATAACCACAGTAACACCCGAATCCACACCCCCATTTGTGCCACTACTGTTGATTCCAAGCAATTGGGCAGTTTTGACTGATGCCTCTCCGAGTTCTCTCGAATCGTTACTGGAGGTGTCAGTTTCAGAATCACCTTTTTGATTTTTAAAATTAAAATTTTATTTTTTGAAAGACCTTGTGTATCCCCAAAAACGGCACCTATCGCCTTTCCTTTGAAAAAGAATAACGCAAACTGTAATCCAGCAATATTGTGTTCTTTGTAGAAGAAATATGGGCACGGTTTCGTCTCCTCAGGACATGTGTCCCCTAGCACATAGTATGGAACACGATGAGTAGTAATGGAACCCCCCCAGTCGGCAACAAACGCCCAAGTCGGCAACATAATGCCAAAACCCCAGACTCAAAATTCACATTATTTTTAGTCACTTAGCTTTTGGTCCATTCTCTTTTTGATTCTAAAGGTATAGGACCATATACCTTTAAAAATTGTACAGTATATTTTTGTATAATCTTAATGAGAGGGAGTAAGGGTATATAAAGAATGAAATTTCACATTTCATAATTCAAAAATGAAATATCCCAAAATTTTTCCCGAAGTTGAAATTAACATTAACCTAACCGGAATCATTGTTTCTAGTCCTAGGCTTTCGACGCCTCGATTCATACCCTTTGATATAACAGGCAAATGTCATGAGTGTAAGAGTACTGAAGTAGAATTAGATTTCGTGATAACAAAAGAGGGTGTAATAGTATATTGTACCCGTTTCAATGGAAGCCGTTTCGTCCCCTTTGATTCATTTTTCGATTTACCAGGACACTGTTTTTTCAAAATTAAAAATAAAGGTAGAGTATTCAATATCCCATATAATTCAACGTCTAAACCTTCTGTAAAAAAGGAATTAAAATGCCCACCTCAGCTAACCTCTGAAACACAGCTTAAAGGTCAACCCCTAGAAATAAGTAGCCAAACATCAATAATAAAAAATAATATTTTAAATTCAGATTCTACAACTAGTACTACATCTACAGAAGCTACTCCACAATCAATTACTCTTAAAATTCCCAAACAGGAGATAATTGAACCTTCATCACAACCTCTTGATTCCCATCCCTCACAAGAAAACATTGAAGAGTTTTTCCAAAGTTTAGAAGCATCAGTTACAGGGATCCCAACCTAAATGATATATAATCGATATATTCACACATTCGATAAAATTATTTTATAACAGTATTATGGACTCATTATCATTTACAGATAAAGATATAAAATTTAAATTACCTTTTGGTATGATAATATCTGGTCCTAGTTCCAGCGGTAAAACAACCTTTTTATTGAAATTTATAACCGAATCCAAAGAATTAATTCACCCTAGTCCAAAATCAATAGTTTATTGTTTTGGGGAAATGAATAGTATTATTCCCCTTTTACAGAAAGCAGGAGTTAATGTTATATCAGGAATACCAAATGAAGAACAGATAAAAAATTTTCCGAAACCACTTTTACTTATTCTTGATGATTTATTACTTAGTATAAATGAAAAATATCTGTCAGAATTATTCACTAAAAAAGCCCATCATCAAAATTTCTCAATAATTTTTATTACACAAAATTTATTTGAACGAAAGATCAAAGTGGCTAGGCAAAATTCTCAATATCTTACAATAATGCGTTCCCCTAACTCGATGCTCTCTGTAAGAAATATAGGTGTACAATTATTCCCGCGACAGTTAGACTATTTTCTTGATTCATATCAACAAGCAACTAAGCAACCCTATGGTTACTTACTCATTGATATGCACGCTTCGTCAGATCCATTATTAAGACTTAGGACAAACATATTTAAAGACGACGAAAAAATATTTTTTATACCAAAAAACGGAAATAATGGTTAATCAACTTTTACAAGATAATGTGGACTTTTTGAAAATATTAGCCCGAACAAAGTCAGGTAGAAAACAAAGAAGATTGTTAAGATTAGCAACAACATCCCAGCTTTTAGCATTAACTGAGATTTGTTTAAATATAGTAAAAGAAAGATTTAAACTTACAAATCGACAAAAGAAACGGCTGATACCTTATACAGAGTTTGTACGTCATTTGAGTCGAGTAAGGAGCGAAAGAGGTGCGCGTCATGTTCTTAATCAGAAGGGTGGAGGTGTAGGTGTTTTCGCAGCGCTTTTAACTCCTGTACTACTGGAAATTGCAAAGAGTATATATAAAAACGATAATTCCACGAATCAAACTATTTAAAAAATGGCAAATAAATTTATTTTAGTCCCTGAGGATTTATACAAAGGGCTTACAACACATGACAGTGGTGAACCTAATTTAGATTTTGTGCGTAGGGATCTTGAGAAGGTAAAACGAAAAAAACAGACTCCCAATGCAAAAAATGTTAATTATAATCAAGAATTGAGAAGGTATTTAAAAATGCGACATGAGCAACAAAATAGACCAGTTAAGGTAGAGATGGTAACAAGTTCAAAAGGTATTACAGCTAGACCCACTACCAGTCTAGCTAGTGAAAATGATGATTCTGATATGTTTATAGATGATAACCTTTCATCGATAATTAACGCCCCTGCATTTACTCAGGAGATTAAACCATCTACATCAACCCCCAAACAAGAAATAAGCCCAGAAGAAAAGAAGCACTTTGTACCAACAAAATCTCCTTCTTCTAGATGGGCACCAAGAAAACCATTAGCTAGAGATATTAATAAAAGAAAATCTAAACCTATAAATAGATTCAAACCAACTTTGTGGAAATAAATAATGGCAGATTATACAAAACTTTTACATGATTTATACAATAATCCAGAGTCCCCAGCGGCTTTTTCAGGTGTTGATAGACTTTGGAAGGAGGCTAGAAAAGTAATCAAACACATACCTAAAAACGTAGTACAAGATTATTTAGAAGGACATAGGACCTATACATTGATGCGCCCCAAACGGATTCATTTTAAAAGAGCAAAGACAATACCAGCTGGTTTTATGACAGATGTGCAGGTTGATCTTGCAGATTTTCAAGCAATCTCAAGACACAATCAGGGAAATAGATATTTACTTTTGGGAATTGATGTCTTATCGAAAAGAGTATTCGGTACTCCAGTCAAATCCAAGAGAACTGAAGAAATGATACAAGCATTTAAACAATTATTTGAACAAATGCCTATGAAACCTCATAGAATTTTTTCAGATAAAGGCACAGAATTTAAAAACAAACAAATGGCAGAATATTTTGAAAAAGAAGAAATACACAAAACTGAACCAGTACATTCTATTGTGAAAGCATCATTAGCAGAAAGGGCTATACGTAATATTAAACAGCGTATATATCGCTATTTTGCCCAAAACAAAATACTCAACTGGATTCAGGTTTTACCTAAAATTATAGAAGGAATAAATAAGTCTAAGAGTAGGATTCACGGAATGAGACCTATAGATGTGACTTTTGACAATGCACAAGAGGTGTGGGAGCGGATTTATGGTAACGATTATTCCAAAAAGAAAATAAAATCCAAACTAAAGAAAGGAGATTATGTCCGTATGAGTGTAGGAAAAGGATTATTCGAGAAGGGTTATATCCCAAATTGGGGTGATGAAATTTTACAAATAGAAAATGTTAAAAACCACGTTCAACCAATCCGTTACAAAGTACAAGACGATAAGGGCGAAAGATTCAAAGGATCATTTTATAAGGAAGAATTGGCTCGTGTTAAGAAGGATGCTGATACAGAGTATAGGATAGAGAAAGTTATAAGAAAAAGGAAAAGACCAGATGGCACATTCGATTTATTAGTAAAGTTTATAGGTTACCCTGAAAGAGAATGGATCCATGAGACCCAACTTGTATAAAAGCCAATTTATTTATTTATTTTTCATTTTGATAAAGATGTCAAATACATTTTTTGTTTTTCTTCCTAGTAATGTTTCCGATTACCCAGATAATAAACCAAATAAATTCCGAGTACATTTACCAAGACCACTATATTTTTCTGGAGACTGGGTATGTGGTTTGCATAGTATAAGTTACCCATATTCATGGCCTTCGACAATAGGTACGCTTGACGAACAATGGATTGACATTCATTTTACTAAAAATGATGGAAGGGCAAGTGTTATTCGTGTACCAGTTCCCAAAGGTTCACATACCACTGTGGAGGATTTACACCAATTCTTGTTATCTACCTTACAACATCAAATAGGAGCTATGGAAGGATCACCTTTGGAAAAACACGAGACTCTAGTAAAACCTCCAAGTGTTCGCAGACCAAAACGTAGTGTATCCCCTGAAGGAGAACTTAGAACACCATCTCCTTCATCATCAGCCGAAGAAGAACCCTCTAATAAAAGACTTTCTGTTGAAAGAGATAGAACACCTTCCCCTTCATCATCTGCAGAGAGGGAACTAAAGTCTCCGCCTCGTACTTCATCCCCTAAACTTACCAAAATAATCCCGACCCCTCAACCTCCAAAACCTACACCACAGCCTCCAAAGCCCTCATTAGAACACTCAAAACCTATTCCAGAAACTCAAAAACCTACACCACAACTTCCAAAACCTATTCCAGAAACTCCAAGACCCTCACCTGAACCTCCAAAACCTGCAACACCTCAACCTTCGAAACCCTCTCCTCAACCACCAAAACCCACTCCTGAACCTCCAAAACCTTCAACACCTCAACCTTCGAAACCCTCTCCTCAACCACCAAAACCCACTCCTCAACCTCCAAAGCCTACAACACCTCAACCTCCGAAACCCACTCCTCAACCACCAGAACCAACTCCAAAGCCTACAACACCTCAACCTCCGAAACCCACTCCTCAACCATCAGAACCGACTCCTCAACCTCCAAAACCCACTCCTCAACCACCAGAAACAACTCCTCAACCTCCAAAGCCTATAACACCTCAACCTCCGAAACCCACTCCTCAACCACCAAAACCAACTCCACAACCTTCGCCACAACCTCCAAAACCTACACCCCAACCCCCAAAACCAACACCACAACCTCCAAAACCTACACCCCAACCCCCAAAACCAACACCACAACCTCCGCCACAACTTCCAAAACCTACACCCCAACCCACAAAACCTACACCACAACCTCCAAAACCAACTCCACAACCTCAGCCACAACCCCCAAAACCTGCAATACAACCTCCAAAGCCTATACCACAACCACCTCCTCCGCCACCAAAACCATCTCCTCAAATTCCGAAACCCCCAACATTACCTTTACCAACCTCTCTATCATTGACACAAAATAAAGAGGAAGAGTTAAAAACCCCATCTCCTTCATCATCAGATGGAAATCATTCCTTGCCTAGTTCACCTACACTACCACAACTTCCAAAACCTCAAGCTAGTTTTAGCGATCCATTATGGACTGAAGAATATGAGCGAGTACTTACCTATGTACTTGCTAATCTCGGGCAAAAAGTAACCCCTCAAGCAAGGATAAATTACCTACCAAATATGCCTCTCCTTGTAAAAAAATATGGCAAGGTACACAAAATAGACTCAACAACACAAAAACAAATTATAGATTCAATAGAATTATTGTATCATAGTGACTTTGAACGATTTAAAGTCACATTCACCCATCCAAGCATAAAATATCTTTCCTTTTCCAATCAATTAGGCTATGTCTTAGGTTTTCAAAATCCCAATATGGTTCAAAACAATGAAATTGCCAAATACGGATGTGATCTACGAGGAGGTTTCTCTAGCTTTGCAGTATACTCCAAAGGTCTTACTGAAAATATGATTATAGGCAATTCACTCAGTTCGCTACTGAGAGTTGTTTCTGTAGCTGGAGCTACTCCCGGGGAATATTATGAAAAAATATACGATTCACCCATTTATGCACGAGTTTTGCCAAAAGAAGTAAATGAAATTGAGATTGAAATTAGAACAATGGATAGTGGTCGACCAGTACCATTTGAGTTTGGAACGGTACTCCTGGTCCTTATATTTAAGAAGATAATAAACTTCTGAATTTCATTCATAAACAAAATGGTTCATATAATATTTGACACTAGTACAGTTGGATACGATGATTTTATTCCAATGAGCGGAGGAGGAATTACAGAAGAATATTTCAAAGGATCACCTCCTTTTCAAAGAGGATATGGTCAAAAAGGAGCAGGTATTGGAGATGTTATGAGAGGACTCTGGAGATTTCTTTTACCCGTTATGCGTAGAGTAGGCACAACTGTTTCAGAAGAGGCATTAAACACAGGTCAACGTGCACTGGGAAGGGTTATCCAAGGGGAACCAATAAAAGAGGCACTTGTCAGTGAAGGAAAAAAAGGTATTGATACAGTTTTGGAAAAGGGAGGTCTACCCAAACAGTTTGGATCAGGAAGGAGTATAAAAAGGAAGAAAATACCAGAAACCCAAAGAATTATTAAAAAAAAGAGACAGAGAACTGACGCATTTGGACTGTATTAAAAATGACATTTCACAAAATAGATCGTGATAGTATAAATTCTATTACAAATGCACTTGATTTTTTTCAAGTCCCACCAACAAATGTAAGTATTTCCTCTTCGAAAGTTTTTGAAATTTTACCTAGCAATCCTCTCACTGATACGCCCTACCATTTTAAAATTCATAGCAGCCAGAATTACATTGATCTTTCAAAAATCTATCTATTTACAGAATTTCAAATAAAAAAAGAAGATGCCGATGGGAAATTAGTAAAACTAGATGCAGCAGACAATGTTGCGCCAATACAGCTTATAGGACAAACTTTTATAAATAATATGCGTATTAGTATTAACGGTAGAGAAATATTTAATTCAAATTCACTTTATGCTTATAAATCATATTTCTCACATGAGTTATCTTATTCAACAGGGGCGAAGAATTCACACTTAAATGCTTCGGGCTACTATTATGATTCCGATGCAAATCTTGAGGGTGGTAATGCTTTTAATTCAAGAAAAAAATTATTTTCAGCTAGTAAGACCGCTCAATTTATTTCTAAAATTGATGCGGATTTATTTAACCAACCATTATATTTAATCAACCACTGTGAAATTGATCTCGAAATCTTACCTAATGATACAAGATTCGTATTAATTGCCCCAAAAACAAATAATACAGATGCTACCGTAAATTATCATTTTGAGGTTATAAGTTGCAAATTATATGTCAAAAAGATTGATTTGATGGACGGTCTTGCACTTGACATTGCCAGAAAACTTGAAACTAAACCGGCACGTTATGCTATACGTAAAACAATGATGAAACCCCTTTTCATAAGTCCAGGTCGGTATGAATTTAATGCAAATATATTTATGGATCAGATCCCGCGAAGAATTACTCTAGGGTTAGTATCAAATTCCGATTATGTTGGAACACAAACACGCAGTCCTTTTAACTTCCAACATTTTGATGTTAGAGAAATTAGCATTATAGCTAATGGAAGACCATACCCTCAGGCATCATATGACTTTGATTACAAAAATGGGAGGTATGTAAGAGCATTTCATGATATGAACGAATCTACCGGCTTGGCAAACTCTTCGGAAAATAATGGAATAACATACCAGCAGTATGGTAGAACACACTGTATTTACGTATTTAATTTAACTAATAGTGGGGAAGATAATAGTGGGACATTTGACCTCATAAAAAATGGTACTACTGCCATAAACATCAAATTCAGTCATCCTATCCCTGAAGGTGGGGCTATGCTTATTGTTATGGGGGAGGCGGACTCCCTTATAATGCTAGATAAAAACCGAACAATAGCAAGCGATATTACCATTTAAGAAAATGAGTAAAATTTTACTATTAATTTTTCTGATTCGTTTATTTTCTCCATGCGTTGGACTAACTAAAGATGCTATGGAAAAATTACAAGAGATTCCTGAGTATGCGGAGTATTTAGATAAAATGGGATACCCTAAGAAAAATTCAACCCACCCAAGAATATCCGCTTCTTCACCAGCCTTTGCAACTTTTCCTTTTGAGAATCTACCTACTCTCTGTAAAGAAAGCCCTACGGACTTATACGGCCATGTCTTTTGCTGGGGTCTGATTTGCCTATATATTATGCTCATAGCAAGCTTAATCATTTATCAATTACGATCAATTTTTTGGCTAAAAACAAATTTACCTAAAAATAATGTTCAGCAATCAGATATCAAAAATATTGAGCTCAAATCCACAAACGAGCAAGATATTCCAAGGATGCTTTCCGTGTAACAATTTACCAGACCCCATACCAGGTAAAGCATTAATTGTAAACTTGGACCCGCAAGGATTTGAAGGATCACATTGGATTGTAATTTATATTCAAAAGATGGATGAAATAATTTATTTTGACAGTTTAAATCTACCTATTAGTTTATGTATTATCGATTCATTTTTAAAAAAATTTTCAATTGTTATAAAAAATTTAAAATCATACCAATCCCCAAATTCAAATTATTGTGCTTATCATTGTATTTCCCTCATTTATTTTATTTCTAAAAATTATACATTTCCTATATACCTTAAAATGCTAAATAATATTGATAATCCAGATTTATTTGTAAAAAATATAGTAAATAAAATGATTAAATGATAGTATGTTTAAATTTATAATTCTTATAATTAGTCAATTTTAAGCAATCCGAACACATGTATAGACAAAATTGAAAACGTTCTTCATCGATTACTATTAGATTTTCTCCCCCTGCACCAGAAAATAAAAATTCTAGACAATCTTCACACCATTTATCCACTCCAAAATAATATTCCAAAGCTGTAAAGAGATTTTTAAATCTCACATTTTTTTTGATATTACCCGTTCCCTCTATAATATTCATAATAGCATTTTCCTCATCCATGCTTGAAAAATCAATGGTGGTATGCTAGACAAGAATAATACTCAAAGGACAACTCAAAAATAATTATTGCGAAATATTCCAAAAAGACGTGTCACGTGCGTTGACAAGTATTTATAGGAAAATGACTTGGTTTGACCCTTTCAAAATTTATTTTCCCTCTATAATATTTAAATTTTTTTTCTCTTCATTTCCCTCTTCATTTATTCAATCTAGGAAAAATATATAAATAAATTTTGGGCGTGGCATGTCTATGCAGGGTTTATGCAAATTTATAATATTAGATGGAAAAATGTTAGAGGAAGGATGGATAGAAAATAGTGTGGAATTATTGCGAAATAACCTTTAAAAGGCGTGTTACGTCCTGGAATAAATATAAAATAAATTAATAATAGGTAGAAATATGCAAATTTAACAAAGAGAAATTAAATGTATAGGATTTTAGGTTGGATTTTATTATTGGAAAAAATAAATTATAGATAAATTAGTATTGGAAAAGCATAACATAAAGTTACGTTTAAAATTGATTTATAAACAGAAATTTTTTCAATTTTTATTTTATTCTTTTAAAATGGAGCCATCACCTCCAAAACGTTTTAAACCTTTTACAATAAAAAATATACTTGGACTCCAAGAAGGCGAAGATTATGTAAAAAAACTGGATGAGCAAATTAAAGTTACAAAAAAATTTAATTTTACTAAAGTTCAATCAAAATTCCTTATCACAAACTTACCATCCGATCCTGAGTTATTATTAGCTGAAATTTTTCAATCGTGTATAGATCAAGCAATTGAAGAAGGTCGTCAGCAACAAATCGAACCTGATCACTTAGGTTGCACAATCAGTAGTCAGGTTCTTGAAACTGATATATGGGTCCCAGTGCGTCAAATTTCAAGCAATACACTTAATTCCATTTTAAATCAATTTTTAAAAGTCTCACAAAGCAAGAAACAGGAAAACACGACGTTATTTGGCGAACCATTCACAGTAACAGTATCAGCTGTAAAAAAAGATGGTCTAAGCAGTGGTCTTTCCGGTAGTGGTAGAAAGCTGGCACCAGTTCGTCATATAGTTAACGATAAAAATTTAATTAAAATTCGAAATTCCGATACACATTGCCTATTTTACGCCCTTGTTTCTTCATTTATACATTCTACAAGTTCCTGGTCGAAATGGAAATTTTATGAATATATGCATAGCAGAAGAGGGATGAAAGATCAATTTCAAAGGGATACAGATTTTCTAATGGAAAAAATTGGAGCACCAAAAGGACTTTCCAAGTATGATGCTACTGAATGGGTTCCAAGAGTGGTCAACTTTTGGAATTACAAGTATTCTGGTGGGTTTAAAGTTTATATATTTGGGGAATATGGTCAATATAAACCAATATTTAAATATGGGCAGGATGTTTTTAAGACTCCTATACTTATTTATTATAATAATGACCACTTTGATGGGGTACGAAGGGCTTCAGATTTATTCAAGCAGCCGTATTGTTTATCATGTGAAAGTGTTTATAATAGACGACAAAATCACTCAACAAATTGTCAATCAAGATGTTTGAACTGTTATAGAATTGGGCCAAGATTTCCTTGTAGTCCCTCAGATAACTTTTCAAAATTGTGTGATGGATGTGAAAAGCAATTTTATAATGAAAATTGTTATAATTCACACCTTAATTCAAATATTTGTAAAAATTCTAAAAAATGTACAAAATGCGGTGTAATCTGGAATGTTCACAAAAATACAAATAATGGAAGAAAAGGACATGAATGTTCGGAAAATTTTTGTATTAGATGTAAAGTATTTCACAACCCTAAGCGTGGATGTTACATAGCTCCACTAACTCCGAAGGAACAAAATCCATACAGGATAATAGTTTTCGACCTTGAAACAACGCAACATAGAATCTTTGACCAGAAAAGAATACATGAACCTAATTTTATAGCAGTAAAAGTTACTTGTCCGAGCTGTATACAAAATGGAGATACAACAGACTGCAACATCTGTGGGAAGTTTAAATCTTTAACTTTTTCAATAAAACCTTTTAGAAATACAACCGTGGATAAACAAAACGTCACATTATATCCACTTACTGATTTTGTAAATTGGATCCTAACTTTGGAAAATGATACAGTTGTATTTTCACATTTCGGTGGGAGGTTTGATATGGTAATTGTTTTCAAAGCATTGTTTCTTCGAGGAATAACTCCTGAAATGATAAAAAAAGGAAATAAAATGTATGAAATGAAGGTGAGGAATAAGAAATGTACAATAATATTCAGAGACAGTTTTAACTTACTACCGATGTCACTTGCAGCGCTAGTACCCGCATTTGCTTTAACTGTACAAGATAAGCCATTCTTCCCACATATGGCTAATAGACCCGAAAATTATGAAAAGGAAATTTATCCAACGAAGCAAGACTATTTGGCTGAAGGAATGATGCCAGAAAAGAGGATTCAGTTTGATAAATGGTTCGAGGCAAATAAGAACAAACCTTTCCTACTAGAAGAACAATTGGCAGCTTATTGTGTTAATGATGTCGAAATTCTTTTAGCGGCTTTAATAACATTTCGTAAGGATTTTATGGATATTTCCAATGGACTTGATGTACTACGCGAATCCATGACAATTGCAAGTGCCTGCATAAAACATTTCCGCCTAAATCACCTAAAGCCTAACCATTTGGGAATAGTTCCAGAGAGAGGATATGATAATGCGGATAACCAAAGCATGCTTGCATTGAAATTTCTCAATTGGTATTCAGAAAAGCATAATGTTATTGTGAGAACAGCTCATTCAAAAGATGGAGAAAAAAGAATTGCGAATTATAGACTTGATGGGTGGATAGAAGAAGAGAAGCTTGGAATTGAGATAAATGGGTGTTGCTGGCATGGGTGTAGAAAATGTTATAAAGACAAAAACATGCTACTTCCAAATGGTAAAACTGTGGAAAATCAACGAGAGTTAGATAAAAAACGTCTCGATATTATTAGAAGCTTAGGGGTAAATATTAAAATATATTGGGAATGCGACATTAGAAAAATGTTATTGAAGGATATAGAAATGAGAAGAAAGTTCAAAACATATCGAGATGATGGTCCAATTAATCTCAGATCAGCCTTCTATGGTGGAAGGACGGGGCCTCTAAAACTTTTTCATAGTATTGAGCCAGAACAAAAAATTTCATACTATGATGTAACCTCCTTATACCCGTATGTAAATGTCACCACTCGCTACCCAATAGGACATCCTCAAGTTCACATATTTAATAAAAATGTCAAATGGAACAAGCCTGAAGATAACACTTATGAAATTGCAATCTTAAAAGTATTTGTAGTTCCACCTCGGCAGATAGATATACCTGTACTACCTATGAAACTAGGAGACGATGATGAAAGATTATTGTTCCCTTTATGTTCTACTTGTGCACGTGAAAATCCACGTGGAGATGTTAAAGAAAATTATTCATGCCAACATAATGACGATCAAAGAGGTTGGGTATCTACGTGTACCTCAATCGAACTAAATGAAGCACTTAAGGAGGGGTATTTGGTAACTAAACTTTACAGAGTGCTTGAATATTCAGAATATGATGAACATCTTTTTCAGCCATATATTAGCCAATTTATGTCTCAGAAGATACACGCTTCTGGCTTTGACCATAATATTAAGGGAAATGTAGAAAAGGAAAATCAATTCATAAACGAGTGCAAAGAAATGTTTGGAATAAATATTGAAAAAGAAAAAATGGAATTAAATAAGGGAAAAAGAACCTTGGCAAAATTAAGTTTAAATAATTTATGGGGTCGTTTCTCCCTTCGGAATTTTGGTTTAACACAATGCCAGATTACGGATGACCCTTCAGAATTATGCAAAAAATTTGAAGACAATACAATAGAAATCAACTCAATTGACGAGCTTACTGAAAATGTGATTCTTATAGGATATATAAAAAATAAAGATTTTGTGGAAGAACATCAATGTTCTAATGTAATTATTTCATTATGGACGACTTCGGCAGCGAGGATTCACCTGTTGCATGCAATGCAAAAGGTTGTCAGGACTCCTGGCTGTCAACTTCTATATACGGACACAGATTCCTTAATTTTCACTCATCCAAAGAATATTTGTCCTCTTGAACTTGGTCCCCACTTAGGTCAATTTACTGACGAGTACCCCAATCATGAAATAATCGAATACTGCTCGGGTGGGGCGAAACAATATGGCTTAAAATTACAAAAGAAGTCGAGTACAGAGGTAGAATATGTTTTAAAGGTGAGAGGAATAACACTCAATAATGATATTATTAAAAATCAGGGGTTATATTACGAAACATTTAGGGAACAAATTTTTAATTTTACAAAATTTAATAATATTCCTATACAAATTGTCTACCCAAATTTCTTAAGACCATCAATTCGATCCGGCACTGTGACCTCTTATCCCCTTAAAAAAATTTATAAGCCATTTGTTGGCAAGGGTATAGTCCGCCCTTCGGACTTTACCGTTCTCGACTTTGGATATGTAAGCAACCGTCACCCACGTATTTCATTTTGAATTTTTATTTTCATATTTTTTTATTTGTTCAATTACTTATTTTAAATTGTACACAATTTGAATAAATTTTTATTTTATTTATTTGTTAAAAAATAAATTAAAAATTAAAAAATAAAATTAATATTATAATAATTAAAAATAATTCTAATTTTTAAATCAGTAAAAATTATAGAGTAAAAAATAAAAGAAAACATAAAATTATAGATTAAAAATACATAATTAAGAAATCAAGGATTTTTTAGTGTTTCTTTAATTTAAAAATATAAAATTTGATTAATTTTTATCAATTAATAAATTTTCTAATTGGAACAAGGGTAAGTTTATGTGTAGGAGTGTATGTTATCAGTAAATATTACCACCCGTCCTGACTGAAGTCTCCTCTGTAAATTTCCAACTCGTCGTCAAATTCCTCATTCATAATTATTTCCGGGCTACCAGGAGGAGATATTTTTACTTTATCATAGAACTTTGAAGACAGCCAAGAAGTTTCCTCCTCCTCTTCATCTACAAATTCCAAAAGTTCTAAAGGATAAAAGCGATCCTTCTCCCATGGACGTCGATCTATTATACATTTTAGGTTGGGATATCGAAGTTTAATACGATGTCTCGTATAAAAATGTTGAGAAATTGTAACATTAAATGTACGTCTAAGTGGTCCGTATGCACGAATTTTATTCGCACCTTTTCTTGTTATACCTCCAAATATAAAGATTTTCTTTTCAGAATTTCTATTGAGATAAGTTGTACGAACCTTACGATCCAGAAATTCCTTTAAAATATGAATTCTTGTATGAGGATCGTCTAAATGAACAGATAAGGATAAAGGTGAACAATTTAACAAGTCACAGATTGCATCTATTACAAGGACCATTTTCGAAGAATGAATATTTATACAATTTTTAGTTCTTTAAATACATCTCCCCTTCCCCTTTTTCAATAAATTTATTTAAAAATATCAGTCGCACGACAGTTCTTTGTGACACATTCTTCACAAAGATTAAATTTAATAGTGACCCCATTTTCAAATCTCATCAATTTATCATTAGCTCGGAATAAATTATCTCTACATTCTTTGCAGAAATAAAATTGAAGCACATACTTTGGCTTGACAAGCTTCCACAGATTTTGGTTAAACACTAAACCTGTAGGTATTAAAGATGGTTGTAATTCTTTAGTGTCAGAATTTGAATCACACATTTTTCAAAAGTGAAAAATTCGAAAGTCTATTTATACCCGTAAAGTGGGCGTGTTTAGAATTAAAAATAAAATTTAAAAATATATTAAACTTTTAGAAAATTTTATCCCTCATTTATATTTTGTGAAAGCTTTTGCCTTTCTCTTGGCTTTTCTATCATTGTTCTTTTCTTGATGCCGCGGTTCTCTTGTTGAATGTTTTTCAGCTGACAGTTTAAGATATTACTGTCACCCTTTAAAGACGAAAAACATAAATAAAATATGTAAATTTTTGGTGTTAGGACAAGTGACAGTTGGTAGAAAATTTTTGTTTTCATTAACCCATTTCCTATCTATCCAAAAACAAATCTTACCAAAATAAACCCCAAAAATGAATCCTCCCCAACCTATTTTTATCTGCGATTTTACTCGCTTGATCAAAGAGCATAGCGAGTTCAAATCAGAACTCGCAAATCTTCGTAATGTAGCCAGCTGGCAATATTACGACATGGAAATTTTGCGAAAACGAGTTCGAGATTTAGAGGTATTCATCAACTTGTTTTAAACATTATCTTTCAATTTAGATGAAGTATGGATCGGGCCGTTCGAATACATGGAGTATTCCACAACGTGAATTTTTACAAGCGCGACGATCCCGTCGAGCTGAGGTAATATTTAGCTTTAGTTCACATTTTTAAAAATTTTTAAGGTACCCGGAAATCGCGAAGATGACGAGGCTAACGGGCGTCTTTTACGTGCCCGAAATCAATCGTCAGACCATCAGGGTACACATCCTGCTGGGATCGGTAATAAACTTTAATATATTTAAACAACCTTTTTTCTTTACAGTTTACGCTTTTGGAGATTCGGCACCCGAAGTTGTGCCACCACTTCAGCCTGTTCAGACACAGGATCTTCCACCAAGGAACGCAAATTTGGTTGAGATGCAACCACTTCGTGTACCTTTAGAAGAAGAAGTGGTCCAACCGGTTCCGGAATTAAATGGTGGGCATGTGCCCATTTTTCATCAGGATGGTATAATTTTTACTAAAATAAAAATTTTAAATATAAATCACAGGTAGCTTCCAAATGATTCGGGCATACTCCGCCCCAGAGTGTATTGGTTGCCTGGTTGCGCGACCTCAAATTGTCTACAATTGTGGACACTTAGTCTTCTGTTTGGAATGTAAACGTCGAGCTGGGGAAGAATGGAATAACCGCTGCCCTATCTGTAAAAAGATAGGGCCAACATTTGAAGCGGTTCATATTGTCCGGGGACGACGAATGGACTGATTGGGAGGACAATATTAAAGAAATTAATTTTTCAAAATTCCTTCAGTAAATGGCTAAGATTTTGAAATTTTTTAACCAATATTAACCACTGGACCATTTTTAACCACGTAACCAATTTTAATTTTAATCACCACATTTTAACCCTTACATTAATAATAATTAATAATAACCTTATAAAAATTTTCAAAAAACTGCTTTTATACTAGACCCACATACCTAACACTTAATTTAAGTATTTATTAATTAACAAGTATTTATCTAATTTATTTAATCGTGAATAAACATAAAATTCAAAATATATTTTTTATTTAATTTCTTTAATTCAACTCTATCTCCTCAAAAGTGCCAGATGGTGGTGGTGGTGGTGGTGCCTTCTTTGGGCGGCAGATACGCTCAGCGTTTATAAAAGGGACAGATATTTTTTTGGACATTTCTAAAAAAATCATTTTTTTATAAAATTAAAAATTTAAGTACCAGTAGATATAGTTTGCCTTTTTTTAATAATAAACAGCATTATCAAAATAAAAAGAAGGCAAATAGCCATAAACACCTTAAGATATAATATTTTTTTAATTATTTTAATTAAAGCCCGGAATTTTGTACAATCCCGTTTCCGTACCTACAACAAAATACAAAAAAACCCGATAAATACCGAAAAATACTGTCCCATTCCCTATTTTAAGACTAAAAAATATTTAAAAATTTAAGTTACCTGTGTGATGAAAATGGCCATTGTTGACCAAACAATTGAATTCTCACAAACCTTTGTAGGGTTTGTGAGATATTCATTTAAATTCAAACTAATTTTTTCATCAACACATATAATAGGGTATTTAAGCCCCTTTGGGCGAAGGCACACTTGATTGTTTTGACAAGTGCAATTATATATAATTATCCAGATAATAGGGTTGAACATTTTAATAAATTTAAAAATAATTTTTTAATCTTAAATTAAAATTTTAAACTTAAAATTAAAAATTTTAAACCTAAAATTCATAAAATAAATGTCCAACAAAAGTTTAACCTATTATATCTTATGGTATATTAATTGGGTACAGGTCGTGGTTGTAAATTAGATACACTAGCTAATGCTTTTTCAATTGAAAATTTTTAGAGATGAACTTAAAATATATTTTAAAGAATGTTTAGATTTAAAGGGAATTTTTTAATTTTTCATCCAGATGTTTCAATCCAGAATTTTCCATCCAATTTTATTTACTTAACTTACACAAAAGAATAAATTAATCTAAAAAACTTATTATTACCCCTAATATAAACAACTAAAAAATTTTGATTAAAGTTTATTTTTAAATAAAATTAGAAGAAAATTTAAAAAAATTTTATAAATTAGAAAAATTTTTTAAAAATTTTTAATTTCCATTTTTCTCCTTCAAATTTTTCTCCTTTCTTATCTTCTCCTTCTCCTTCTTTTTCTTTCGACGACCAGCGCCAGTTCGCTAAAATATTAATATTAATAGAAAGCTGTAAATATAATGATTTGAAAGAGAAGCTGGGTCGAATGATACCAAGATCGGTTAAATTTGACGTTTCTGAAAAGCTTAATTTCCCTAAAAAATTGAGAGATTAAAACAAAACTATGTTTAAATATTTTGATTTTGGTGTCATTCGAGTCAGCTCCTCTTTTAAATCATTATATGTTTTACTATAAAAGAAATTTAAAAAATTTAGAAAGATTTAAATTTTTTAAAAACATACTGTATCCTTTTTCTCATTTTGATTACCACCACCGGGTTGTTGAGGACGTTCAGGTTGTTGTTGTTGCTCCAAATAATCATCTAAAAATTAAATATGAGATTACCAAGAAACACATGAAATTCTGGTATATTAAGGAAATATGTCCTAATAATAACTTTTGATCCTTTAAAAATTGACAAAGACACAAAATTAATTAACCCAATGAGGAAGACTTAAACCCATTCAAGTTAAAAACAACCCAATATAATTTAAAAGTATGGCATCCGAAAAATATAATTTTTTAATAAACCTTTCCTATTTATTATTATACTTAAAAATGACCCGTTAGTTAAAAATTATAATAACCTTCAATATTCAGCTCTCCATTTGGTAACGGAGCCACCAATGCTGCAGCAATGTCGGCTCCCAAATTCACTTAAATTTATTTAATTTTCAATAAATCAAAATTTTTTATATACTGACAATTATGCACTTCCAAAATATTTTTAGCATTTTTTGACCCATTCTGAATTTCGTCTCCCAAATTCACTCGATTATTTTCAGCTGACTCATTTGCAACTCTTAAAATTAAACTTTGGAAATTAAAAAATTTTTTAATACATTCCACGTCCAATCAATGTACTAGAAGCATCTTTTACGACCATAGTTTTAGTAGTGCCTGAAAAAATTTTTAATTTTTCAAAAAATTTTCAAATTTTTATATAGCCTTGTTTTCCCTCACTATTATCCACTTCCAAAATATTTTTAGCTTTTTTTGAAGTACTCTCCCCAGTAGGCATTTTAATATGATAAATATCATGACGATCTGGAGCTGGCGACAAAATTGGTTTTGCGGGGTTATAAACATCCTCTTCTTCTTCAAGTATTAGAATATCAGCTTGAAAAAGGTTTTAATTTCCAAAAATTTTTAAAAGTATTTTTAAAAAATTTCCAAAAAATTTTCATAAATCTTTTTCTTTTCCAAAAATTTTAAAATTACCATCAACTGGAGCAGGAGGTGTAGCTGGAGCAGGAGGTGTAGCTGGAACAGGAGGAGGTGTAGCTGGAACAGGAGGAGGTGTAGCTGGAGCAGGAGGTGTGACCGTATTTTCAGGAGGAGGAAGAAATTCAGGCGGTGTTCCGCCACATAATTTTATATACTTGATGATACCAAGCTGTGAAAATTAATTTCAATTTAAAAAAAGCTTATAGAAATTTTAAAAGAAAATTGTTATTTTTAGACTCAAAAAAAAAACTACCTGATCCCCCAAAGCACAAATACCTAATGTACGGAGCTCATCCTTTCCTTAAATTATTCAAAATTAAAAAAATTAGAAAAAAATAACCCAAATCAGGTAGTAGATGTGGCTGTATTCTTTGCTTCACAAACGCAGAAGCATATTTTTTCCTAGTTTCTGTAGGTATATCACAACAAGTCTCAAAAAATTTTTGCCATTTTTCTTCTTTTTCTCGTTTTTCCGACTCCTTATTTTTCTTGGCCTCTGCACGTTCTTTTTTGTGTTCCTCCTTTGCCTTCCCTTTCTTATCTTTTTTTAAAAGAGATTCAAATTCTTGATTGGAGTTAGCTGAAAAATTAAAAAAGTAAAAATTTTCTAAAAATAAAAGTGAAATTTTTCGTGACCATCATTTTTTCGCTTCAGACTAATTCTTAATGGTGTCACTTTTTTAATTAACCCAGAAGAACCAGTACCAGAGGACGTTGGTTGTAAATCTATTGAAGATGCTGGATTCGAAGTAGATTCAGCAAATCGGACAACTTTCTTAATAGAAAGCATATTCTGCAAATTTAAATAAATATAATTTTCATTCAATAACTATGGGTTAAATTTTTCAATTTAAAAATTTTTAAAATTTTTTCACATTAAAAATTTTTAACCACTTTTTTAATTTGTCCAGAAGAACCAGCACCAGATGACGTTGGTTGTAAATCTTTTGAAGTTGCTGGATTCGAAGTAGATCCTACGATTCGGTCAACTTTCTTACCAGCTAATTGTTTGCCACGTCCAGCACGCATATTCTGCAAATTTAATAAAATATAATTTCATTTAATTACTATCAGATTTTTCATATTTTATTTAAAAAATTTTAACCAACTTGAAATTCCTTATATTTTAATAACATAACATCACGAACAACTGGCACACTTGCTGTTGGATTCATATCTTGGAATTGTTGACGAAAGCGAACATTGAACGACTAAAAATAAAAAATTTTATTTAAAGTAAATAGTTTAAACACAAAAATAATTTAAAAGTTTTCTGTATAACCTTTTCAAACGAAATATATTCAAAGTCCTCCTCATTATATTCAAATTGAACATCAATTAGTCCCAGCATTTTGCACAAATCAGTACTTGTAAAAGGGTCTAAAACTTGGAAAATTTTTTTAATTTTAAATCAATCAAAATATATTTTTAAAAATTACTATCTTCTCCAAAAGCAGCTTCCCCCATTCCTTCCATTCCATAATTTCCCCCTTCAAAGTCTTCCTCTAAAAATTTTTTAATTTTAAATCAATCAAAATATATTTTTAAAAATTACTATCTTCTCCAAAAGCAGCTTCCCCCATTCCTTCCATTCCATAATTTCCCCCTTCAAAGCCTTCCTCTAAAAATTTTTTAATTTTAAATCAATCAAAATATATTTTTAAAAATTACTATCTTCTCCAAAAGAAGCATCCCCCATTCCTTCCATTCCATAATTTCCCCCTTCAAAGTCTTCCTCCTCTTCGTCTTCCTCCTCTTTTTGCATTGAATCAACTTGTGCTTCGTCTACAATTTTTCGCCTCATGCAATTGGGAGAATTCTAAAATTAAAAAACCAAATAAAAGGTAAAAAATTTTTTAAATTTTACAATTAAAAAAATTTTTTTTAGAGCTTCTCGTGATGCTCTACGAGAGCATCTATCCAACCGTTCTAGCTTCTCCTCTCTTGCCAACAATTCTTCTTCCTTCTCCTCCAAAAAAAAATTTTTAAATTCGTCCAAGTGCTGTATATTTTTTTTAGGCTCCCAAGAGTCTAAAACAAAAACATTGTTAAAAATTTAAACAATTTTGAAATTACTCCATTCTGGTCCAAATCCAGACCACTTGATCAAATATTGCTCTCTCCCATTTTTTAATTTTTTCCCCAAAATTTTTTCTACTTTATAGTCCATCTTAAAATTATTTTTATAACATTTTAATAAATTTTAACTCAACCTCCTCCTCCCCTTGTTGTAAAGCATCAAATTCAGAGTATTCTCTCATCTTCAAATTATATTTATAAAAATTAATTTTAAAATATTTTTAAATATAATGTTGGTAAACATTAATTAATTTTATATAAATATTCAGAATTTTATCAAAATAAAATTATTTAAATAAATAAAAATAATTAATTGTTGTTATTTCTTTAAATCCTAAATAGAAATAAGTTTTTGGGGGTGGGGGGGGGCTAACCTCGTTCTTCATTAAAAAACATTACCAGTTGAACAACAAGTTGGAATCAGCCAACATTTGTAAAATTCGATCGAGCTATAAATTTTAATTTAGAAAAATTTTTAAAATTAAATTAATTTTCATAAAAGGAATAGGTCCCGGGTATCCTGACCGGTCAGTATCCGGTTTGTATTCGGTCCCGAGTATCCATTGGTTCCTGGTATCCGACCCCCGGGTATCCTGGCTGGTTCCAGTATCCGGTTGTGACCGGTCCCGGTATCCTGACTGGTCCCCAGTATCCGGTCCCTGGTATCCATTGGTCCCCTGTATCCGGTTTATATTCGGTCCCGAGTATCCCCCGGGTATCCTGACTGGTTCCCAGTATCCGGTTGTGGCCGGTCCCGGGTATCCTGTCTGGTCCCACGTATCAAGTTTGAACCGGTCCCGTGTATCCATTGGTCCCCAGTATCCGGTATTAACCGGTCCCTGGTATCCATTGGTCCTTGGTATCCGACCCCCGGGTATCCTGACTGGTTCCCAGTATCCGGTTGTGGCCGGTCCCGGGTATCCTGTCTGGTCCCACGTATCAAGTTTAACCGGTCCCGTGTATCCATTAGTCCCCAGTATCCGGTATTAACCGGTCCCTGGTATCCATTGGTCCCTGGTATCCGGTCCTAGGTATTCTTTCAGCCCCCCCCCCCCCCCCCCCCACCCTCCCATTTTTAAATCATTATTCCATTTTCAACTTATCTTTGTATTTCATTTCATAAAAAATTGTAAACAAGCCAACAATATCCAAAAAATCCATTAAAAAGGAAAAGAATATCATGTTCTAAAGGCTCATTTAAGTGTGCAAAAACTTCCAAAATTTCCATCATAATAGCACAAGAAACGGCATTATCTGTTGCACCGGGAGTGTCGGGTAAGTATCAAAATGATAATTAATTAAAATTACCACGAATTGCTGTAGACCATTCTCGGAAAGTCAACTCCATTGGTGAAATTGCAATCGGAAGTTACCCTAATTTGATTGTGGACTGCTGGACTACGTACAACACATAACAACTAAAAATTTTAAAAAATTCTTCCAAAATAATTGTTGTAAATACCTCCCCTGTATGTAAAGACCAACCACGAACAATTAAATCCTCGCCAACAGCAAATATAAATTGTTCATTTGCATCAACGAAACAAGGAAGTTTATGTGAAGAATTGAGATGTCCAGACTCCATTTGTGTTAATACTTTTTTGCAGAATCAACAAATTCACCCGCGCAATGATTTGAATGCATTCGAAGGTCCAACAAAGAAATATTTGCAGATTTACGACCAAAGAAAAGATTGTTTCCGTCCCGAAATTAAAACATTTTTAATGAATGGACACTAAAAACCTTTGAAAAAGCACACGAAATTACATTTCTTCCCCCACTGGATACAGAGAAATTCTGCCCAGAAAGGACGTTAAATATTCGAGCATTTCTTTCCATTCCAACACAAATCTAAAATAATCTGAATTTTAAAAATAATTCTTTCACCTTCATATGATGAGAATTAAAACAGAGTGACCAAATAGGTTCTGTTGATTTCCATTCGGAGTTGTGAATGGGAGAGCTCATCGATTCACGGCCCTTAAATTTTTTTTATAAAAAATAGAAAAAAATAAAAATAACTTCTTCACTCAAATTAAATTCAATAGGTCGTAAATGTACATTACATTTTGTAACAATTCGTGGGGGAAATTTGTCACAAACGGAATTGTAAAAGGAACTAGCTGTAGCAAAAAGAAGACAAGTAACATCTCTGTCTAAATTTTAAGGAAGAATTTTTATTCCTTCAGAAAAATATCAGTAAAAACCTGCGGGAGCCAGTACCATATCGACAAGTACTTGATTTGTTGTTTCTAGACAAATTCCATTATCAAGAGGGTCAAATTGCAATCTAACAAGTAAACTTAAAATTTAAAAAACAAACAAAAAATAACCCATAGGTGTTACACGAAAAGCGTCCATTTGTGTCGAATAATTTTTTAGGATTTTCATCCAAAAGCTGAGCATGTCGTCTTAAAGAATAATTTTTAGTTATAAAAAATTATTTAACAACCTTGCTTGTTCAGAATTTGAATGGACTTTGAAAGATAATACTCGTGAACATTGATTATGACCAGAAAAAATATCATTCCGCTGAGTTGACCAACACCCCAACAAGGTTTTCCCATCTTCTGAAACATCCAAAAATTGGCAACTGTCAAAACGTTGTGACCAACTATCCGAAACCTCAAAATAATTTAATTTTACTTTTATTTTTGTTAAAACCTCAGAACTATAGCTAGGTGTTTGCTTAACAGACCGTAATCTTGACTCTTCAATTAAACGTAGATTCGTACCCCTACATGAACCAAAAATTTGAAGTCCAGCCAAAGCATTCGGCAAACTTATGTTGTTAAATTTCCGTAAAGAATTATTTGTATTAGAACATTTTAAAATTTCTGAATTAACTGCCAACTTTCGTAAATGTAATAAAGTTGAACCAGAAGGCTAAATTAAATATGTATTTTTAGTTAAATAATTAGTGAAAAAGGTTAACCCAGGGCTCTCATTCGTACTTTATTTGAAAGTACAGTACTTTAAAATCGACCTCCGTACTTACAAAATTGAATTTGTACTTTATTGAAAGTATGTACTTTAAAATCAACATTTTGGATTGAAAATGAAATTAGGGAAGGATTGGGCAAAAAAGTGGATTTTTTTGGCCTACGGCCTTAGAAATTCTCAAAATTTTCGCCTGCGGCGCTGAAAAAGGAAGAAATCTGGCTTAAGGAACTCCAAAATTCTCAAAATTTTCGCCTTCGGCGCTGAAAAAGGAAGAAATTTGGCTTCTTGGGTGCCAAATTTAAAAAATTTTCGTCTGCGGCGCTAAAAATGGAAAAAATCTGTCTTAAGAACCCCGAAATTTCCCAAAATTTTCGCCTGCGGCGTTGAAAATGGACGTAAGAAAGTAGCTTGCTTGAGGTTAAGACTGTCAGGGCTTTACTTCTTGTGACAGCGAATTTTGACATGTCGTGTATGAAATGCACAAAATGCTCAGTGGAAACAAGAGATTATTAGAAAAATTCATTTAGCAGAGAAATAGTATAAAAGATTTGAGGGCGAATAAATATTTTGTAATTTAATTTTGAGTGTCCTTTAAATTTGGAAATTTTGTCCCTATGTACTTTAAAATCGAGATTTTTGTACTCTTGATTGGTATTTTGTCGATGAGAGCCCTGGGTTAACCTGTCCCGGGACATTATCCCAAATTTTATAATATTTTTTGCTGCTTGGATCATAAGAATATCTTTAAATTTTCTAACTTTATAATTAAAATATCCATCAAAATACCCGGGTAAATCACTAAGTTCAGCAGATCTTGTCTGAATGTTTGTGGTAGTTGTTGGTGAAGTATTTGATGTTGAAGAAGTCTCAAAATGTTTTCCTGACCGATTTTGCCCTCTGTAAATAATTCTTTTTTGTTGGTGGCGGTCTACTTTAGATGAAGTTAAATTTGAATGATTCATAATACTTAACAAAAATACAACGTAAAATTAATAATTAGAAAATTTTGTAGAAAAATTTTGTCAATAAAAAATAATGCTTAAAAAAGAAACCTTTTTTATAGTAAGGTGTGGCTACATCCCTTTAGTAAGGTGTGGTTGCATCCGAAAGGAAGCAAAAAGGATGCAACCACACCTAAATCAATAAAAGGTGTGTATGTCTTCTCCACTTTTACAAGCAGAGAAAACATAACTATCGAATAAAAGGAAAAGGAAAAAGGTGAAAGAAAAAATGGGAATTTGAGTCTGGGGTTTTGGCATTATGTTGCCGACTTGGGCGTTTGTTGCCGACTGGGGGGGTTCCATTACTACTACGATGCGCCCCAATACTGTCTCCGTCCGAATCCTTCCACTTGGTTTCATCCTGGGGAATTGATTTAATTTAGCAAATGCCTTAAAAAGAACCCAACCTGATGGTCGGGGTCATCATCGGGATCGCTTCCATCAGTATCAACTGCCAGTCCCGATGCATATGCGTAAATACCGGTTTTCACCTAATTTATTTTAATAAGATTTTTAAGTTTTATCTACATTTAACTAATTTATTTTTTACCTCATATACATTCACATCCTTCTTACTCATAGTATTAATATGTGGCTTTTTGTTAACTTGATTCGATTTTGTCATTTTGCTATTTACAAATTTTAAAGCCTCTGCAGGGGTGACATCAGCACCTGATTTTGTATAATTATTTAATTTAAGAATAAATAAAAATACCATAAACGCTTATAAAAATGTCGATAAAAATTAAAAATAAAATAATCCAAGAATTGATGACTTTGTTGTAAATCATTATTTTTTTATATTTTTAAAATAGTAGGTTAAATGTTATTTTTATGTTATTTGAAAAAAATGGGACCAGGAAAACCGGGAAAATAAAAATTATATAAAACTATGGACAGAGACGGTCTGAAGAGAAATTGGGAGATTAAAAATGAAACAATTAACTTAATAAACTAATAATTTATTAATAAAATTATAATTCTCAATTTATATTTACCAGAAATACAAACTTTGCGGAAATAAAGAAAAGTATGCTATTTCTGTAACAAAAATTTATAGAAACTAAGAAACTCTAAAATTACCCTTAATTAAAATGTTAAATAATTACTCCCACTCAAATAATTACCACATCCAGCCATAGGTTGAAAGAATAATTACATAGTACCCAAGTAATTATTCGAACATCTATGTTATATGTATTAATATTAGCGGATTAAGCTCCTTTAATTTTTAAAAAGAACGGAAAATTTTTTTAAAGTCAAATTTAAAAAGAACGGAAAAATATTTCTACATTAGATATTAGTAGAGTCCGACATTTTAGGTTCCGACCTATTTTTTTTGCAACCTTGTAATGCTGAGTAAAGCTCAAAAAACACTTATTTGGCACGGTACCATGCTCCTACATTGGACCTATTTAAGCCTAAAAAACCTATTTCGGCTTTTTTGGACCTAAAACCTATTTGAACCTATTTTGACCTTTTTTGGGCCTATTTTAGGTTTTTTGAAGATTTTTCTAAAAATTTGATTATTTTTAGTAAATTATTCAACTTTTCCCCATGAAATATCGGAAAATAAAAAAATTTAGTAGGGGAATTATCAAAAAGGTGAATTTTTCCGCAAAATGTATCTAAAATTCTTAAAATTTTCGCCTGCGGCGCCAAAAATTCCCATTGTTTGAGTGATCTTCATATGTGAATAGGGTTGCCAAAATGGCCCGATTCGGACCGAAAGATCGAGTCGGGCCTAAGTTATTTGAAAAAAATGCCTCGACCGTCAGCCCGATTCGAATAACGGCAACCCTTAATGTGAAATCTATTGCGATAAGTTTCAAAACCAGATTTTAATGTTCATGAAAGTGTCACCTTGAATTTAACAGAATTCGATGTTGTCATTTTACTCCGATAAAAATTTACTTCCTTTTAGTGTTAAAAAATAAAATTTTTGGAAAAAAATTTTATTTGGAATAATATGTAGATAAACTGTAGATAGATAAACTACATATTATTCCAAATAAAATTTTTTTCCAAAAATTTTATTTTTTAACACTAAAAGTAACTCAAAAATTCGGACCTATTTTTCAAAATTTGGACCTATTTTGGCCTTTTTCTGATTTTTTTGAACCTATTTTGCTACCTCAAAAAACCTAAAATAGGAACCTATTTCACAATTTTTCGGGCCTAAAATGTCGGACTCTAGATATTAGTAACTTATTTTATTACATAAATAAATAAATTTATTTTGTCTTTATATATTCAAAATTTTGGGAAGTAAATTTTGTTATAAATAAAAATAAAAAAAATTGAAATGACAAATTCAAGAAAAATATTATGATTAAATAAACGTTGACATTTTTATTAAGATTTTATTGGTTTCTTTTATTTAATAACAACTATTATTTGTTATTTTTAAATTTTTTTAGAAAATAAAAATTATTTAATGTTTGAAATTTAAAAAATTGTTATTGAATAATAAATTAAAATTAAAAATAATTTTTTTTATTTTTTGTTATAATTTTTAAATTAATTGTTGAAAATATTTAAAGTCAATCAGCTTTATTTATACATTTTTTAATGAGGATTTATAACGTGGCTTTTCATTTTTTGAGGATCAGAGAAAAATATTTATATTTATCTCCCACACATTTTTTGAATTAAATATTTTTAAAAAATCGGTAACATATAAACTTTAAGAATAATAACAATTTATAATTAAAATTTATCCATAATTTAAAAATATTTGCTTCAGAAAATGCGTGGGAGACCTTCAATAATTTTAACAAATTTATTTTTAATAATTTATAAGTAAGCTAATGTCAGCATTCTTTTATTTGTCAGCATTACAAGTTTAAGGATGATTATACTTCTTAAAGGACAACATCCTAAAGTTAACATTAAAAATCAAAATGTTGTTATTTTCGTTTTAATTTTTGATTCCTTCCTTTAAATTATTTTAAAAATGTTAATTAAAAAATAATGGGTAAAATTTTTTAAAAAATTTTTTAAAGAATATTCAAAAATAATTAAAATTAAGTTAAACGACCAACATTCCAAAATTTAGTTATTTTTAGTCAAATAAATTTCTTATATTTTATCTACATTTAAATAATGTTTTTGTTGCCAAATATCTAAACGGCCTCCTGAGCCTCTAATTGATAAAATTATTTAAATATTTTTGTCATTCTTATTTTATGTATAATTTTTAAAATTTTATAAATTTAATAAAAATAATTTATTTGTAGCTGATTTTCTAAAAAAAATGTTAATTTAATGTTCTTTTTTAAATTAATTAATAAAGTTATGTCAACAAATATTTTTAACAGTTTAATTGTTTAATTTTTGAACTAAATGCTGTAAAATTAATTGCCTGTCATGCTTTTAATTCAAGCTCAAAAATTTAATTAAATTATATTATAATATAGTAAAATTTATATTAGATTTTTGATGTTTTGATTTTTATTTTAATGTTTTGAATATAATTTGCATAATAAGCACTAATTTTATATATTTTAATATTTTTTATAATTATTTATTTAACATTAAATTAAATAACCAATTTTAATTTTATGATTTAATAAAAATTGTATTTAATTAAAAATATTAAATTAATATGTTTATGAAAAGTCCACCTCCTGAGTCTCCTGATGTTACTTTGTGTTTATTTAATCTACATATTTACTTTAAAATTTATATTTTTGATTTTATTATTTGTCCGTTTAATTATTATGCCCTTAATCACAATATTTGCTAATTTCATAAATTTGTATTTTCCATGTTTATTTATTTATAATTTTATTTTAAACTAATTACTCCACCAGATTTTTATTTTTAAAATAATACATTTCGTTAAAATTAACATATTATTTGTCTCCCAGTGTCTTGCAAATTTCTCATATTTGGTTATTTTTATTAAATAATTATTTATTTTTTAAAAATTTTAATGATTTAATTAAAATTGAATGATTTTAATAAATTAGTATTTTAGTAGTATTTCCGAACCCAAATTAGTATTTCCGAACCCGAAACCCAAATTAGTATTTCCGAACCCAAAACATTTATCCTCAATCTCAACATCCACCCTGCCAAAAATAAATATTCGAACTTTATCAAAGGCTTTTTGGTAGGCAACACAGATTACCTAGTTGTAGTTTTGATTATTTTATAATTTTAAATCTTATTTGGGTGGTTATAAATAATTTGCTTCATTATATTTGAGAATTTAATGTAAAATTTTACTTTTTCAAATATAAAACCAAAAATAAAATTATTAAATGACATTAGTCACTAAATTAAAAATGGTAATATTTAATTATTTTTATTAAAAATTAAATTAGCTATATGTCTTTAAAACATTTTGGCATTAGAAAGCTTTCTAATGGACGTTTATAGAATGCTTCTTGGTATGTTATTAATAACTGAAGGTTTTTTGCTCCAATAAATGAGGCTGTAATTAAATGAAAACATTCAGCATATTTTTTAGTTCCAGCATCTATACCCAATTTATTGTGTAAATAATTAAGTAACATTTTTGAATAATAAGAAAATTCCTTTGAAAGAATATTTCTCGCCGATTCTGACAAATTTGGGATATCTTTGTAAAAAAAATTTTTTAAAATTATTTTTAATTAATATTTTAATTAAAATACCTGGATTTAAAAAAACAATTGCCAAAATTAAACTAAATTCTTCTTTAGAAATTCCAATGTCAAAAAAAGGCTCTATAGGTTTACTTAATACTTTATTTGCCAGAGAGAATAGTCTTAAAATTAAGAAATTCATTAAATATTATTGTTTAAATTTATTATATACGTTTTATCATTTCTAAAACTAAATTGATAAGCGAAAGCAGCCATTGGATAAAAACCATCTTTTCCTATCATAGTACGAGAACCCAATTTATATGAAGCAAAGTAAACGCCAAGCAGTGATACTGGATGTGCCACATATTGGAAAATGGTTAACTTGAATAATTAACTCAATTATTAATTTAATAAAGTTAATATTAAAATTTAAAGTATTGGTCTAGTTTAATGCAGAAACTGTTTTTGTGCATTACACTACATCCCGTCTGCAAGAAATTATGCATTTGCATAAAAACCCTGGCTCTAGTTATCTAACAGTAAAACAATTCAAAGGTTTTGCGTAATAATGAAGGCTTAAACATTTTTCATTTATTTGTCCCTGTCATAGTAGCCCTTTAAGAAATCTGTAACCTTTAATAATAATAATAATAATAACATACTTGATCTTTAACATCAAGTTTCGAAAAAACAGGTAAAGACTTAAAAATTCCAATACAAATAAGTTTCTGAACAAGGAAAAATTTAGCAACACGATGAGTATATTGACAAAATTGTGCACTTTCTTCGTAAAATTCAGTTGAACTAATAGGCCTTGGCATTTCCTATAATTAGTAAATTTTTATGTAATACAATTGTCTGACTATTCTCTCCCCAGCTAATGCAAAAGCTATTTAGGCGGCTATGAAAAAAATTTTGGCAAAATTTTTTTATTAAAACATGAAAAAAGTTCCTTTTTTCACAAAATACGTAAATTATTCTCGAAAATCTATACATTTCTATAAAATTACCTATTTTAATTACCAATTTAATACTTTATCTGTACTTCCAGTAGGAAGTTGTGATATACCAGGTTATTTATGTTTTAGATCGCATTTAGTGGTAAATGTCCGATCTACCTGTCCGCAATACCGTCTATAAAATTACCTATTAAAAATAAAGTATTAAGTAAAATAAAGTATAAAGATAAAGTATTAAATTGGTAATTAAAATAGGTAATTTTATAGAAATGTCCACTAAAATGTTATAAAGGAACACTAACATGTTCCCTTATAAATTTTGATACTAATCTCCTTAGCTCGATGAGAAAAATTGTTTTATATAAATTTAGAAAGATTAGATAATCTTGAAACATGTTAGGGATGTTTTAGGCGTGTCCCATTTTAGATTTTTATTTTTTACCGAAAATTCGGATGCTTTTGAAATAATATTTGGTCCAAAAGTTAAAACATCTTGTAATGAATTAAATTTCATAGATAAAAATTGTTGTTCATCATATTCCATAAATGAATTTCTAATTCGGTTTTGTGCTTCACAAATTTGAAGTAAAAATTCCATCTTTAATTTAAAAATATCTTCAAAAAATTTTTAATTTTAATTAATTATTTACCTGACTGTTTTCAGCATCTACATTGGAAAATATGAAATTATTTTCTTGACCTTTAATAATGAATTATATTCCAAAACAATTTTAATTTAAACAATCCGAATTTAAAATATTTTTAATATTTAGGTTGGCACCGGGGAAGAGCTGTTAAATGCTTAAGATACAACTCAATTTAACAGAAAATACCGGAAAAGGTCATTTGCGAACACTAATTTATATATGGGCATGCTAACCGACTTATTGTCATAGTCCTTGGGGTATGTACCTCTTTAATAAATCCGTAACCTTAATAATTAATACATAATAACAAACTCGAAATTTCGAACAAAAACAAATTTAGCAACTCAATAATAAACTGTCAAAAAATACCCCCTGTTTTTTTCAAAAATTCTTTATCAAAGAAAATTAGGTATACCAATTGATGTCATTAAAACATAATTCATTACCTATACAAGCATCTTGTTTACTTGTTGATTGTTTATATTTATTAAAATCCTTATCATTTTTAACACAAATAGTTTTTTGATCATCTTGATGATATAAATCGTTAGAATTTGTTTGTTGTAATTTATTTCGACGTTTTTCTAACATTTCAATAAATTCATTTCGATAATTTATATCATCAATTTTTATCAGCAAAGGATCCATTCCTTCAATTAAACATTTGTCAAAACGGCAACTTCTACATTTATCACCTAATATAATTAATACAATTTCAGTTTATTATTTTAATTAGATCTAACCATTTATTATATCACACTTTTTATTTCGTTTACAATTGACAACCTTTTGATATAAAACTGTACGGCGAAAAAATTGCTTACAGCCTTAAAAACGAAATTAGTTTTTCCTTTTAAAAAATTTTTTTAAGGAGTTAAGCCAGAAACTCTACATATTTACAACCAGCCACAACCCCATCTATTTACAACATTAAATTTTAGTCCAAGTTCCAACTCCACATTTAAAGCACGTCATTTTCGATGTTGGGAATTAACAAAAATATAGATGATAACCGAAGATAGTATCCTCGGGTATACGTTTTCTGTCCTTATCTCTGTCTTTAAGATAATTATAGAACCCCACTTTCCCTCGATTTTCAAGATTTGAGATCTCGATTAAGTAAGCGATTACAGAATAATCTACTATTCCAGTCAATGGAAATAATGGATTTTTATTTTTTAATAGTTTTTTATTTGGCAGTTAGTAATTGTTTAAGAATTTTTTGTAAACTTTTATAAACTGTCTAAAATATTTGGAACACTTAATTTTTTGAAAATTTTTCATAAAATCGGTAAAATTGTTGTTTAACTAAAATCCTTTTGTAGAAAAGAAAGTTTTTGCTATTGAATTATTATAGATAAAATTATAAAAATTTAACAATTTTAGTCGAGATATATGAAAAATTTGGAAGTATCTAGGTTTTTTGGGACAGACCTTAGAAAGGATTTTAGTTAAAATCGAAACATCAAAATAATTTCAGAAAAACAAAAAAAATTACTTGGACAACTAACAACATTATAATTTCTGCTTTCACTTTGTTTTCCACAAATTTCGCAACTAAGAAGTTTTGCATTTAAATTATTATTATTCATATTTTGATAATATAATAGATTTTAAATTAATAATCTTTTAAAGAAAAATGAGAAAATTAATAGAATTAACAATGAAAATTACTTCATTTAAAAAAGGAAAAAAAAAACTCTACGAAAACATGTAAGCTAAACAAATATATCTAATAATCAGTACCAAAAATTTCTATTAAAACGAATGAGTTTTACTTAAAATAAAAAAATTATACTTATTCGTTATTAATTAAAATATTCGAGTACAAAAATGTTTAAAAAATTAAAAATTATTTTTCCATTAGAATTTCCCAAAATAATTCATTAATTAAGCTAAATAAATATGACAAACAAAAAGAACTTTTTTTTTAAATTATACGAAATTCTAAAAAAAAATTAAGTGAATTTTGCTAAAAATTTATTCAATAAAATAATTATTTTAAAATAAATAAATTTGAAATTTTGCTAAGTAATAAATAGGCCTGACAGGCATAATAAAGACAATTTCCTCTTTATATTTTATTTTATCTTCTATTTAAAATCAAAATTAAATTATTTCTAAATATAAAAATTAAAAAATTAAATTAATAAACTTTGTTACATATCCCCGTTGGTAGCTTTTTTTTATAATTCTATAATTATTAATTTTACTTATTAATCTTGCTAATTATTAGTTTTGCTTGGCCTTATAATAATAAATTAAATTATTTTATTAAATTAATTTATTTATTTTATAAGCATACTTAATGATTATTTTTTAATTCTTAAAATTTAAAATAAATGTACATGACAGTCCACCGTTGTCAACCTTATTAAGACCCGTAATAATTAATTAAATATATTTAACCATTTTTATTTAATAAATTTTCAAATTTATTTTATTTTATTATTTTCTTTAAAAAATAATTTAATTATAATTGTTCATTAAACTAATATTTTTCATCAGTTTATTTACGCAATTTCTATCTTTTTTAATGGATTAAAATGGTTGTTGGAACCGAAACCAAAAACATCTTTACAAAATATATTACTCTATTTCGTTCGATAATAATGATTTTTTAATTTTATTTCATGAGCTGTGATGTTGATTAGTTATTCGTTGAATTAGTAATCAACAATAATTTAAAATGAAGTTCAAATAAAATTATTTCATTATTTGCTTTAAAAAATAATTTATGATAATTATAAATTCATAAAGATGATTACATTTATTGTTCATTAAACTAATAATTATTTTTAATTGACTGAAAATGGTGGGATCAACGTTCTCCTTTATAATTTAAATATTTATTAATCTATTTTTTCAGACCTCACATAAATTTAAATAAATTCATCCTAGTTTTTGAAATCGTTTTAAATTTATAATATTAATATTTATTATCCATTTAATATGTTATGTAATTTTGTCTTTGTGTAAAAAATATCTCTACACTTAAGAGATAAATTTACCTTTCTACCTTTTGTAGGGAAAATTAAATCACTTTCAATTCAAACATTTTAAACACAAACTTAAATTTCCAAATCTTATTTTATTTATTTCCAACGAAAGAAAAAATTATTATTTTTAGAAAGAGAAAAGAAACGAAAATTAAAACTAGAAGAAAAAGTGAATATTTCTTTAAAATTCTTTACTTTTATTTATCTTAATGATTCATCTTTTTTAAATTTATATTTTAAACTTTCTTTATTTTCAATTTTCCTCATCTTTTAACGACACTTTGCGAAGCAAATTGATAAATTCATATTTTCTAAATTAAATTATTTTTATTTTAAAATAGCAGTAAATTTTCGTTAATTCTATTACTAAATGATAATTAAACTTTTGTATATGAACTATTACATTATTACATATTAATTTATATGCCAAGATTAAGGGACCGTCCGCATCCTCCCTGTCATGCCGGTTATATTAATAATTTTTATATAATAATTTTTTATTATACAATTTTATTATATAACTTTTATTTCTCCCGATTTATTTTTTAGTTAATTTATATATTTTTTAATTTTTTATGTTTAAAATTTTAACGTATCGCGAAAAACAGTTAACAACAAGCTTTGCTTTATAAAGTCAATAATAAATTTATAAGTTGGATTAAACTAAATCTATTTAAATTTATTTAATTAATACTTAATCTATTTTTATTATTTTATTTAATAAAATCATAAAATAAATTCGTAATTGTTCACATCATTATTTAATTTTTAATGAAGTTGACATCTTTTTCATAGCATTCAATTCAACGATTTGCTCGAATTGCTTCAATGAACAACGATTTCCTTGAAATTAAATCTAATAATATTTTAAAATCTAAATTTAATAAATAAAATAAGCTAAAAAATTTAGTTATATTTTGTAAAATGTAAACGTTTTATTTCAAGTTGAAGGATTAAATCAAATTTTTAATTTTTACCAGTTATTGAAAAATAATACATACAGCAAAATATTACTTAAGGCCTGTTATTTCCATTAATTTCATTGTCTTTTATTTTAATTTTTAAATTGTTTTTAAAGCAAAATCAACTTATTTAAAATATAATAAAAATTAATAAATTTGCTCTTGGTCTTTATTTTACGACTCGAAATAAATATCGTTTTAAATATATTTTCTTCATAAATTTGGGAATATTTTAACACAATCTGTTGAGGACT